ATAATAATAATAATAATAATAATAATAATAATAATAATAACAATAACAGTGATAATAATAATAAGAACAACACCCCCCCAAAACGGGTGCGATTAAAAGACAGAGGTCCAACCACTTCGGACGGGATCCGATCCAGGTCAGAGGCGCTGAAGGCCATCGAGACCGCCTACGTGGAGGCCACCTGCAACGCCAACGCCGTGGGCCTGGTGAAGCTCATGGGCCGGCCGAGCGGCGGCAGTTATCGGGAGATTTGGGGCTTCGGCGGCTGGGGCGAGGCGAAGTTGGGAAAACGGGGGCCAGCCACGAGGGGGTCCTTTTTGGCTGGCTTTTCAACGAAGAAGCTAACCCCCCCAAGGCCAGAAAAAAACCAGCCAACACTCCGAGGACTCCGAGGATTTGAGATGCTTAGCCTCTCTCCGGTTTTATTCTGGACATTTTTCGGGCTAAACTTCATTCAGCTCCGCCGCTCGGGTTTGATGCGGTTAGCCCAGGGTGAGCCAACATGGGGCCGGGCCGCTAAACTTGCGGGTTTCTCCTTGCAAAGGGTCAACAGGCAACCCCAATACTGCAGCACCCCATCCCTTGAGCCGGACAGTCCCGTGGTTTCGGCCTCTCAAAAGATTTCCTCAAGGATGGTTGCCCGCCTGCGGGAACCATGGCCATAGCCAGTACGAGGTTTTGACCATGGCTCATATTGTGTGCAAGTATCCTGAGCCTGTATTGAGTCCCGAGACGTTCTTGTTTGCTTGTTTGCTCCAGTGGGGAAGAAGGGGAAGCTCTGCAACCACCAAAAGACAAACACATCATATGACATACTGTGGCTTCCCAAGGTACGGCAGGTGGGGCAACAAGCAGAACTCTGCAATTTTGCGCGAATTACTGGGCCGTTGTTGCCCTGGCTACTGCATGTAGGACAGGAATGTGCCACAATGTGCATAGGGTTTTTGGATGTGGTCGATTCACCCGCAGTATCCGGCGGGCATCCTGCAGGGTTTGTGAATTTGGCCTCAGGCATTGCGGGTACCTGACGATGATGTCGGTGCTGGCTGCGCGCAAAGTGGACATTTGCCTGCTTCCGGAGATGGACATCAACCTAGACAAGGCGGAGGAGGTTGTTTCTTTCGCGAGGCCCCTCCCACATCCTTAAAAGCCAGACCCGTCCACATCTATTGTAGCTGGGTAATTTGGTGTATATAAGCCCTTGCACGGGAAGCCGGCAAGTGGCTACAATGTAAAGGCATTTTGTTGTGGGTAGCGGGATGCTTGGAGTGGTCCTCCCACCCCGCAGCCCCAAGGAAACAAAGAAAGGACAAACCAGCAACGCCAGGGCATTTCTCAGGACCGGGCTGAGATGGGCTGTGTGCCTCACGTCCATGCAGGTCTTGGATCATTGTGTGGAGCTGGTGAGCACCAGCGGCTACGCAGCGCCTCGCTCGGATGTGTTTGTGGGGTGGGTGGAGTGGTGGGTGTGGGTTGGTGGGTGTGGGTTGGTGGGTGTGGGCTGGTGAGTTGGTGGGTGTGGGTCGGTGGGTGTGGGTGGGTGGGTGTCGGTGAGTGAGTGTTGGTTGTTGGTTGGTGGTTGGTTCTTGTTGGTCGGTGTTTGCCAGCATTGGTTCTTGGTTTTCGGTTCTGTTTTTGTTGTTGCTTGCTTTTTGTTGTTTGTTTTTTGTTGTTGTGGTTGCTCTGATGGTTGTGGTTGTGGTTGTGGTTGTGGCGTTTGTTGTGGTTGTGAGACCATGTTGTTTGCTTGTGGTTTCTGTTGCCAGTTGCCATTGGCTGTTGCCAGATCTCAGCTTGTGCTCAGTAGGTAGTGGCCGAGACCGGGTTTTGGGAACGAACCGGTTTTGGGGAATTCCTTAAAACAAACCAACTCAACTCGGATGGATTCGTTTTTTTCCTTTTCGGGGTGATTCCATTTCTCATCTGCCAACCGAACCAGCAAGGAAGTCCGCAAGCGTTGGTTGGGTCTGAGTGTGCGGTTGCGCTCGAGGTCGTCGTTGTGGCTGAAGGGTGCGGCGAGACGATGTTGCACAGCTCTGGACCGGGCGATGGATTTCTGCCAAGGATTAGGGAGGCTACGCTTTGGACATGGGGTTCATCAAAAGGTCGCAAGGTCACATAGGATGACCATTGGGGAACACCAGAAAAATATTATGTACATCAACCACTAAATGTCAAAAAGTTACCCATGGTCATTGGAGCCAAGAATATTTAGCAACCCCCACATACTCGGTCCTATTGAAAAAGACAGCAGGTGCCCTTCAGATTTCTGGTCAGGTTCGCCATTGCCCAGACAGGGTCGCAATTTATTTCGCCATGCGGGCTTCTTCTGAAGGAGCCATGGATGAAGGCGGCAACAAGAAGATCAATGATGTGGGCCCCTGGTTGAAGGACTGGGGGAGTGAATCTTGGGGACATCTAGAAGCCAGCGCAACGCCAACGGCTGGGATTGGCGCCATTCTCAGTAAACCCATTTCTGAGGAAAGCTTTTCGAGGATCGGCTCCCAAATTCGGTTCGGAAACCTCAGCGCCTGCATGAAACGGCCTACAAAGTGAAAGCAGGCACCGCACCCTTTATGTCCGCAGCGAGGATAGAACTTCAATGGGGAAGTGCCATCTACTTTCACCCAACTTTCCGGAGTCCACCAGTGGCTCGTGGGGTGTGTTTGGTTTCCCTGTATGACCCTGCGGCTGATTTGGAGCCGCAAGAAACTCATGGCATTGGCTATGACGTCGCGAGGATGCCATCACCGACCACTTCAAGAATTTGAAGACGCTTGGCGCTCCCTACACCGGCCGCTGTTTCCCAAGAAGCAACCTGCCACGGCAGCCCTTTTTTGAGAGGGGGACAGGGAAGCGGTTGATCGAACAAAGCAAGGCATTCTGATAAGGTCAACGGCTCCCACTCACTGCGACACTGAGCCAAATCAGCCTGATGTTGGCAATGTGGCCAGCCAAGGCTGCCAATCACGATCAAGTACGTGGACCCCACCTACATGGCCCCTCGCCAAGTGCCTTTTTGCCTTGTTTGCCTCCGCCGCGGAAATCGGCATCCTGAGGTCCGGGCGGTGCCTGCAAATCCCAATGACAGCTCCTTGTCTTTGACTTGCCGGTGCCGTGTCGGGGGTTGGGCAATGCACGGGCTGGTAACAAGCGAGGCAGCGAAGCCTCCAAGCCCTGCCGCCATGAAATCCACCACGCGAGCTGATGTGGGGGGAGTTGCGAGCTTTTTGTTTCAACATGGAAGCCAAAAGGCACGGTGTTTTGTGGGGCCCATTTGCAGCGTAGATACCAGCCCCTGCCCACATGAACATAGAAGCTGAGAAACGGGAAGCCGAAACGGAAAACAAAACAACTACAAAAAACGGTTTTTGCCTTTCCACCAACCGCAAAAAAGCCAACCTCAAAACAGCACACACCTCATTATTGACTCCAAAACGTATGGTTGGTGTCCCCTGCAATCGTTGCTTAAATTGAGAAGCCAAACAAAAAACCACCACTTTGGGGGAGGTCCCCCATTTTGACGAACACCCACAAGGTAGTTTTCCAAGGATTTTTCTGTTACAACTTTCAATAATTGCAATAATTGCAATAATTGCAATAATGGCAATAATTGCAATAATTAATTGATCCCAGATTTGGCCTCAAAGCCGGGCCGACTAATTACAATAATTGCAATAATTGCAAAATCCGGGACCTCCGAATATTGCAATTATTGCAATTATTGGAATTCAATTCTAATCATTGCAATAATTGCAACAAAGACAAACGGGCCCTCAACAGCCACGTTCCCTTGTTCAGGCAACCCGCAGTTGGTCGTTTGAACCCCTGGTTCTTGTAGACCCGGAAAACCACGCAACCACCAAAGCCACCCGTTTTGAGGGAAGCTGACCTTTTTCTTGGGGTCTGTTTATCTTTGCGTAAATTGGGAAGCCCCAAAACAACGAAAAAAACACGCTTTCTTTGGGGGGCCTGTTGGGAAGCCCCAGAAAACAACCAACAAACAACGGGGAGTCTTAAGAGACGCTCAGACCCAGGCATCTACTGCTCTGAGCTGGCGCAGGCAGCGGTGCACGCCGCCATGGCCGGGTACACGGGGCTCACGGTGGGGAAAGTGGACCAGCACGCGGCTCGGCTGACGGCGGTTCGACGCGGCCGGGAAAACGGGCTCGGCGTGCCCCAGACGTGCCGTCATTTTTGGGGCGCCCCGTTTTGGTGGTGGAGGACACATCCCCTTTACTCTTGTGAGACATGGCAACGGTTCTCTTGATTGCAACCGTCGATGGTCATCCCACAGATTATGTCTCTACCACAGAGGGCGCCCCGTGTTTGGTGCTGGCAAAGGGGCACCAAAAGGAAAACCACTCATTTTGGGGGCTGAAAAGGCCGGTTCCTTTACTTGGGGTTAGCAGGGATGGTCACTGGTAGTAAGGATGCTTAATAGCCATTGCGATCTTATAATGGTTCCTGTTTTGGAAACTGACCACGGGCCATATAAGGAGTGGTTGACCATGGCAAACAGGAAACATCGTGCTTTTTTGTGAGACAGTGAGCAGATTTTGAAACGCTTTTTTTGGTTGGGGTACTTCACTTGCCCAGGTGGTGTACCTGCCGATCAAAATGCTCGCCTGCGACTGAGACGAGCGGACCTGTTGCGTATCTTGCTAGTGGCAAACGAGTGCAAATCAATCAGGCGTAGACCCCTCTGTAGGCGAGTGCGCATCAATCAGGTGTAGACCCCTCTGTAGGCGTTTTCTGGGCAAGGAATGCTTTGGGTTAGCCGTTGCTTTAGCCTACATGCCCAGCAGGCCGTGAGCACCCTCCCCGACTTTGGGGGGTGTTTGTTTCGAGGGTACTTATTTGATTCAATGGGAATACCATGCTTTGGAGGTTCCCACAGTGGTGCCCATATTTTGGAGGCTCCCATTTTGGAGGTTCCCATATTTTGGAGGATGCCAGTTCTCATGTCCCGGATGCCGAGACCAGCATGCCCAGCCGCATCGTGGACGTGAATGGGCGCTGGTTCGAAGCTTTGCGCACCACCACCCAGCAGCCCAACCTGGCGCCAGCCTTAGGGAGCTGAGCTGAGGCTGGTTTGGGTTTTTGGTTTTGCCTCAGGGTGGCTCGTCGCTTTTTGGAGGCTACCCCGTTTTGCTGGGTTTTAAAAAGGGAAACCACCAGGAAAATCAGACACTTTGCGGTTCCCCCAAAAAAAAACCACTTGTTTCTGTTGCGGGGGCGGTTGCAGCGGCGGCGACTGAAGTCTTTGCGATCACAGCACCGCAGCCCCGTTCATAGGTGTTCTTTTAGGTGGTTGGAAACAGATGGCCATGGCTCTACTTTCAACTCGAGCATGCTCCTGCCAAAGTCTGAACTTCAGCAAATACTGCCGATGTAGTCGTGAAAGGTTGGCCAGGGTATTCCCCTGCCATATGGGGGCGTCTAAAATTTGCGATTCCACGCCTACGTGTTTTCCCTTTGTTTTTCCCCCTACTGCCTCGAAACACACGGGTACCCACAAAGAAGACACCCTGTGTAGTGCCCATGGTGTAGCCTTCCACTGTTTCTGGGAAAAAATAAAAGCAGCCCTGGTGTAGAAATCCTTAGGGGGGGCGGTTGATTTCAGTGGGAAAGGCCAACTTCTGGTGCCCCGCTTCGCCGCGCGCGTTTTCCTGAGGAGTTCACGGGCAAGGCCACGGCCAAGCCGTTGGACCCCAGCAAGCCGGTGCTGCGGTCCCACCGGGGCCTCCGCAAACGTGGCCCGGTGAAAAGGAAGGGACGGCGTGGGACAAGAAGCAGACAGTCTTTTTGGAAGCGCGTGCTTCTTTCTTTTATTTTTATTTTTTTTGGGGGGGGGGATTGGACGCGCGTGCTTTTTGGGGGGAGCCTGTTCCAGATTGGTTTTCAGTTTTCAAGGGGTCCTGCTCCAGTTAGAGTCAAGGAAATGGGCTTTGGTCACTGCGATGGACTGGTGACACTTGGTGCAATGTTCTAAGCCTCAACTTGACTGGCCACTCCCACCGCTGCGCTTTCATCTTGTTTGGGCTTCGCGCACGTCCACAGCCCTCTGCCGGCGGTTGTTCCCACAAAAGGAGGGTAACGGAGCTAATCAGAGATCACTCCCCATTGCAAAAAGTCCCAACGTGGGCAAAAACCAGCCCCGTTGACCCAGTCCAAACAGGAGATGAGGGGAATGCCCCTGTGTATGGTTGCGAAAGCCATTTCACACTTGAGAACCCTGGTTCCTGATGCGATTCCCCAACGCGAGTACCAACAAACCATGGTTTCAACAATGGTTTCATTTCGTGGCGGGAAATGGATTTCTTACTCACTTCCAGAGTTCCTGGACTTTGAACTTATTGTGTAGACAATTTTGAGTGAGCCCTAGGTATCCTATGAACCGTCCCTTGACAGCGGTTTCCCTTTGGTGTCCCCTCTAACGCCAGTCTCAAAAAGGCTTACTTGCAGTAAAAAGACCGGCCACATGTCCGAGTCAACTCCATCGGGGACGTCGACGCAGCGGACACGCTGCGCGTGCCCGAGACAAAGCTTCAGATCCTGGACGGTTACTCGGTGATAATTTTAGAGCGGCCGTTGGTGGGGATGTATTTGTTGATGCCAAATTGTCAAACACACTGCAGCCTTTCGGGAACTTTATGTCTCGGGGGCTGCAGTGATTGCCCTAAGTATCGCAAGTAAACCAACCAGTACTATGCTTGAATTGGCGTAAGGGAGGAGAGTTTCCCTCTTTCCTTGCTTGCCGTATTTAGGGCCTCCAACGTAGATGCCACCTCGCCGTAAACTAACTAACACGAAACCCCCAAAAAGGGTCCAATCGTCAAAATACTATTCCGCCATTGTATCGTGCTTTTGGTATTGATGACAATCTGCAGGAGGTTATGGCCAGTTGTGTGGCAGAGTCTAATCCCTGCTTGCTTGGCGTTTACTTTCTCATTCTTGCAATGGTCAAAGTTCCAACTATTTTTCCTTCCCCAGAATTAGCTCTTATTTTTGTTGTTTGCTTTCTTGCGGTCCCCTTTGTTTTCCACGAGCCAGAAAAAACATTTAGTGTTTTTGCCATTCCAGCCTCGTATTTCCAGCAGGGGCACCTGGCAACTGGATGAGCATCACCTTATCCTTTTAGCTGGATCTTGTTGGCTCTTCTGTCAGGCAGGCGGGTTCGGGGGATTTGCCGCGTTGCTGTCAACAATGAGCTCACCTGCCAAAATGAATTCACCGTGTTATCGTAGAAGTTGCTTCGTTTCAGAATTTCATGTTCACTCGATGTAGCCCATTGGAAACCGAGCGGATGCTCTCACACCCCCACCGGAAAAATCGGTGGGGGCGTCCGCCACCCCTGCAACTTGTTTGCCATGGGTTTCGGGCAGACTCCTGTACCAGGTTTTGATTGTGACTCAGGCCCCTTTTAGGTTCAAGACCGGGTGATTGTTCAATCACGAGTCGGTTGCCAAGCAGATCGGGTCAAGCGCGTATAACATGAAATGGTTGAACATATGAAGCGTCTAAATATGTCACAGTCCCGCCAGTTAAAACATGGTCACACGCTGTTTGAGCATTCGTGCCTGACATAAGGCGTACCACCAATGTAAGGTTGTATTGCCCCTGGTACATGCGAGATCTCATGTGCCCTGAGCTGCCTCTGCTCACGTGTCTAAATGAAACAACATGTACCCTCCCATGGGTGCTGGAAGACCATTCTCCTTTTAAAGGGGCCCCCTGTGTTAATTGGAGAGTGATTGGAACCCCAGTGGGCCTGGCACAGCTGGTCAAGGCATGCTGCCATGGTTGAACAAATTTCAGTCAAACTTGAAAAACCGTATTGCCAACCAACGATTGTGCGCGTCAAAGCCCACACTCCGTCGCCTTCTTTGGTTTTTGAGTTGGTACCCATCTCCCCTACAAAGTTTGCTCACGCCGCAGCTTTCCCGAGGCTTCGGCAATATCAAAAAGGAGCGCCAGCTGGCGCGAGACGATCTCATCCAGGAGGGGTTGGGGAACAACGGGCTCGTCGACCCTGCGACCAATAAACTCAGGGGTTCAAAGCGAAGCGACCTTTTGACCAAAATTGTTTTCCCAAATTGTGGCCCATATCTAGACATGGTCCCAAAAGGTTAACCTTGTATTTCTGGGTCCTTTGGGCAACTGAGAATAACATGAAGCTCGACAGGGGCTCGGTCCCTGTACAAGGACGATGGTCTTCCAGGACCCCCCCGAACGTCAGGTTCCATGTTAATTGGTGGGAGGGCATTTGGCGACGGATCGTTGGTGTTTAACTTTTTAGGCCCGCAAAAAGGGTTAAGCACTTTTTCAGGGGGGATCAATCAACATCAGCCAAGTTTTTGGCGTGAATCAGCCTGGGATCCACGAAGTTTCTTCCAGGATGTGGGTACTTTTTGGTGGTTTGTCCGGACTTGTTCTGACCCATCATCTACTGAAGAGAGTTGGACACAAAAAGGACATCCCCCCTGCCCGTCCCATTTTGGTGGTTGGGCCTTTTTCTTTTCGCGCACCCTGGCCTCCTCGCATCGAAGCTGAGGGAAGGTTGGTGGACCAGCTTCCTCTAATGGGCTTTCATGGCAAGGCGGTGTACTGGATCTTTGGCTTACTTGAACTATGCCAGGGGCATCCACCTTAAATACCCCAGATACACGCAATCCCTCCGCCAACTCATGCTTCTCTGCGTGTGTGTGTGTGTGTGTGTGGTGTTTTAGGATTTGGTCCAAACTGAGCAATTTCTTTTTGGTTGCCCCCCAATTGATCAACCTTGGGAAGGACATTCAGTGACCACCGCATTCTTGGAAGCTTCTTTTCTGGCTGTTGCCAGAATATGTCGGCCTCAAGTTGAATTTCCCAAGCTAATCCCAAAAGCCGGTCTGGATTCTGGTTGCACTGGTTGCATCGGAGCGATTGTGTTAGCGGGTTGTGCGGGTCCAAGTTCTCCCAAGTTCTCATTAGGCCCCATTGGGAGTTGCCATCGGCTTGCCATGGCCCGAGCCGGGCTTTACCACCAGCGTGTTTGTTTGAACTCCGAATGGGTTTTGTTCCGCCAGGGTCTTAGCCCCTGATTGGGGCGATTGGGGAGGCTTGGGCCTTTAATGCCTTTCTTGGCGCCAGGACAGCGTGCATATCCGGTCTTTGCAGTGCTTCCACCTGAGCCACGCGGCGGAAGAAGTTGGGCTGTTGCCACGGGGTTTTGGATTGTTTCCGGGGTTCTCAGGTGGTCAGTTGACGCCCGTAGGGGGCCCGTAGGGGTTGGAGTCGGGAGGCGAATCCCGTCAGTCTGCGGCTGACCCTGGGTTTTCTGCCAAAACCGGCTCATCTTGTTTTTGTCAGAAGGGCTGTCGCTGAGGAATTGCATGGAAACCACAAAAGAAGCCTGACTTTGGGGCGTGGGGATTGGCTGAGGCGAGCGGTACGGGCAGTTCAACTTGCCCTCCACGCTGAAGGGCGTGCGTTTGTGGGGGGCCTAGCAGGGCCGGAGCCGGCCATGCCGTAGGTCAGGCCACGAGGGGAACGCGGGAGCATGAGAGATTACTCGTGTGCCCCCGCTTGAGAGGCCCCGCTTCCATTCTGCCTATTTTTATGGCGAGCTCACCTAAAGGCAAAACGAGCTCACAAGATGTAGTCCCTTTCCTTGGGGAATCCCTTATTTCAGGCTTTGGAAGCATTGCAACAATTGCAGGTGTCAAGCTGCTATCGCATTCGCGAGCCGTGGACGTCAGGTTCAGCGACAACTTCTCCTGGACCTCCCAGGCGATGTTCCTGGGAGACCGTGCTGGGCTGAGTCCATCCCAAGCCCCGAATGCGGGGAGCGTGAGGTGAAGCCTGAGGGCTGGTGGCCAAAAACTTGAGCAACCGGTTCATTTCACGAAAGAACTGGAGTTGTTCTGCCCCTATGCTTGGCAATCCGGGGGTGTGGGCCGTAGTTTTTGCCACATTGTGATTTTTAGGAGCTTCCTCAGGCCTGCTTGCCAAGCTTTGCACATTTTGCCGAGTGTGTGGGGTCGATTCCTCGAAAATCAGTGCCCGTTGCTTGTTTGCCTGTCTTGCATTCCTTCCCGCCGAAGCTAAATGATGTGAGCAAACAGGTGAGAACCTGAGGCGCTGAAGGCCAAAGCTTCCCAATGGGCCCGTTCCTTCCCCACACATATCCCCTTGTTGGCTTGGGGGGGGGGAGGCACGAAAATGTGTGGAATTTGGTATTTTATGCTTGGGAGGATGAGGTCCAACACGGGATTTCAAGATGTTCTCCTTTCAGTAAAGTGCGCTTCGTCTTGATGGTCATGTTTTCAAACTGGAAATGCGGAACCGATCCCTGGCATCTCTGACCGGATGGCTGTTCACAGCCCCTGGCAACAACCCAGTGGTGTGGGGTGTTCGCCTGAGGTGTGGACTCGGGCAAGGGCGCCCCCTACTTCAAGATGTGCCGGGCTCGGCTCGCGCATGACCTCTGACAGTCAGATTTTTGGACAGACGGAATGCGACTGCCATCGCGGGGCTGGCAGTCGGCTCAGATCGGCACACACTACCCTCATTCATTCTCTGTCCGGCAATCATGAGAGTGGCCAGGGGACAAAGGGCCTTGCCAAGACAGAGCTGTCTTCCACAACCCGCCTGTCAGCGGAAACGGGTAGACGAAGGTCCCAAAAACGGAGGTGCCCCACCCCCTTTGCCGTCTGAGGACCCGCGCGGGTCCCCGGGAGACGCTGCACTTCGACCCCCACGACCCGGCCTCTTCGGCGGCGATCATCAGCTGCGGCGGCATCTGCCCCGGGCTGAACTGCTCCGTGGCAAAACTTACGGCGCAAAACGCGTTCGGCTGCTTGAAGGGAGGGGGGCGGTTGGTTGGTTGGTTGGTTGGTTGGTTGGTTGGTTGGTTGGTTGGTTGGTTGGTTGGTTGGTTGGTTGGTTGGTTGGTTGGTTGGTTGCTTGCTTGCTTGCTTGCTTGCTTGCTTGCTTGCTTGCTTGCTTGCTTGCTTGCTTGCTTGCTTGCTTGCTTGCTTGCTTGCTTGCTTGCTTGCTTGCTTGCTTGCTTGCTTGCTTGCTTGCTTGCTTGCTTGCTTGCTTGCTTGCTTGCTTGCTTGCTTACCCTTTGGTTTGCCATTGGGGGCCCAACGGGCAGAGCGCACCAATAGCTACTTTGATTCTACTTGGCCAAGAAGTTTGTGGATGAACTATACTTTGTGTACAACGTCTCGAAAAACTTACGATCTACTCGTACATATTTACTTCAACTACCCTTTTGGGACAACAGATGCGCTGAAGGACTATCCTGCGGGCACCTTTTGCTCTTTTTTTTGGGGGGTTTGTACCCTTGCTTTGCTTCTCTTCGCTTTGCGGTACCTTGCTAATGCCTTGCCTTGCTATGCCTTGCCTTGAATTTGCTTTGTTTGTTTCTTTCTTTTCTTTTCGTTTCTTTTTCTTTTTCAACCTATCTTGGCGCTTGGTTGGGCGGGCCTGGCCCCGAACCTGAACCCACTCTCCTACGAGGCGTCATCCGGGAGGTCGTGAACACGCTGTGGGCCTACGGGGTGCGTCGGGTCTACGGCATCAAGGGGGGCTACAAGGGGGTCATGGAGCCTGAGACCTGGCCCCGAGTGGCCTGTTTGGGGCGTTTTTGGTTTTGTTTTTGCGTCTTCTTTTTCTTTGTGGGGGGGGCGGGGGTTGGAGTTGGGTTTCGTTGATCTTGTTTTTTGAGGGGCGGCCTGGATTCTTCCCAAACCGAAAGCAAAAAGTTGAGGCAGTTTATTGGTGGTTGCCTTGAAGCGAGAAAGCCACCTTTTGAAGGTTCCACAAAGGGAATTGGGCAACAATTTGGCTTTTGAGGATGCCCTTTATCCAATAGAACTTTGTTGCTTGGATTGGATTTGGGTTTGAAGCCTGGTTCCGGAAGGTAAATGGGAACCAACCCCCCGCCAAACCACCAATCCAAACCAGCAGTCTGAGAGAAGCTGACTCTTTTGAGGTTGGTTTAAAGGGAAGCAAACTCCTATTTTGATACATGTCCTAGTGGTCTGGTGTTGCGCAAGGTCCGGTGGAGAAAACAATGAATCCAAGCTTCCCTAAAATGTTGGATTGCCTGGTTTCTCTTGTCGTGGCCTACAATTGGGTAGCATCAAGGGTCCAAAGTTGCAAAGCTCTTAATCCCAAATCACCAAACCTTTGCCTCCTAGGGCGAGGCGACCAGGTTTCTGTTCCCAATGCTCAAGCGACGTTGGTCTCTTTGTGCATGGTGAACTCAGCGAGCGGTCTGCCTTGAGCGCGACAGGGTTTGTCGCAGCTTTTGAATGGCGCGAAAGCAAAAGGAGCCAGCTCAAGACTGACTGCCAAAGAGCCGATCACTTCCTGTCCCCCCCTAAAGGAACACAGAAAAAACCTAAAGGAAGCCGAAGAAAATCACGAGCCCAATTGGTTGCCACCCGGGGTTGCCACCTTGCCAGGCTGGAGCTCACTCCCGAGATTGTCAAGGTGCGCCCGAAGCGGCTTGAAGCGTTTCGGTGGCTTTGGTTATTGCTGTGAAGATGGCGGGACTTCTGAGCTGGTAGGAATTCCACATTCTTCCGGACGAAACTCCAATTGCAAAATCACACTGGCAACACCACATGGGTTTTGCAACAAGGCCCTAATTAGAATGATCGCCCAGACAGCCGATTTTGTTGGGATGGGAGGTGCTCTTGAATAGGTGGTTTGGATAGGTTTCGGGTTTATCTACCCAAAGGGGCGATCCCCGACACTCCAAACCACCAATCCAAACAAACCACCACAAGCCTTGGCCCCGCTTATTTCACCACTCTCAAAATCACCCCCGAAGTGATAGGGTTGACGGAAGCCACCCCAGTGATAACCCCTCAGAAGTCAAAAGGATGGCCCAATGCAAGGAAAATCTGGCTACAGGGGATGACGCTCGTGGCCCCACTGTGCAGGACATCCACACGGAGGGCGGCACGATGCTCATCAGCGACCGGGGCAACCCCCCCCACATTGCGCCTCATCTGGGGCTGAGGCGGGTGCTTGGGGTATGTGTGAAGAATACCAAAATAGGTCCGTGTTGTCATGTGAAGGTTAGTAAGGGATAGTGTTTGAAATAGGGCCGGATAAGACGCTCTTTTGTTTCTTTGCACGGTCCTGGGTAGGTTCTTTTACCCGGTTTTGGTTATGACTCATGTGGCAGTCCTTTTTGTGTCAGGGACCGCTGCAAAGCACCCTGAAAGAAGGTCCCTTTTAAAGAGACATTGTGTGTGTGTGTGTGTTTCTTTGTTTAGGCTCACGCCTTCCACCCTTGAAAGTGAGAAGAGAAACGCCCGGTGGTTCAAAAGAGGGGGCACAGGGCTTAATCCAGACTCCTGTTTGACACCCAGTTTTGTGTCATCACCCGAGTTTCGCCCAAGCTTTTGTCAAGACTTCCAGCGCGGCGGGATGTGGCGATTTGACAGAAGCTTCCGGGCAGTCGCTTTTGGCTTCCTCATCTTGACAAATGTCTCGGCATCTCCTTTGTTTTCCGGATGTGTGCTGCCAGACGGGAGTTTTTCAAAATGGTGGACCCCCTTTCTATTTGGACTTAGCGGGAAACTCAAGCACACCAACAATTTCAGGGACCCCCCTGCCCCCCAGTGTCAAAGCGAGGCGGTGCTTTGGGACAGCAGTTTGCATTTCCGAGGAGATGGCCAAGATGTTGCAGAGCAAGAACGTGCGCCAGTACTTTGTCTTAGGCCGGAATGTGCGTGCGTGTGTGTATTTCATTGAGGGTACCCTTTTCACACACAGGCAAACAGCCCATTCTTGGGGGTCCAAACTGATAGAAACATGTCATGCTTCGTGCAACTTTCCTCACACCCACTATATAACCCCTAAATTGGGCGGTTTCCCTTTCGTTCCCCTCTGCACCAAACCCAACAAGTGTTGCCTACAACATGGGTATGTGGAAGGGCACCTGTGGGGGACCTTCTGGTTCCGCAGTGCGCATGGAGGCTAGGCCCTCAAAAAAGCCATATGGGAAGGTGTCGAAAAAGAACAAAAGCCCACAGATATCCGCCAAAAAAACATGCGTTTTTTTTTCTGGAGACGCCCAACCCAAAACCTTCGGCGCAGGCGGGGACGGCACCCACAAGGGCGCCATGGAGACCTTCAACGGAATGATGGCGACTCGCCGGTTGAAAGCTTCGTGGAGCTCGGGTTTGGTGAGTGGAATTCTCTGGAAGGGTTTCAGGTAGCCCTTTGCAGGTTTGGAGCCCGGTGCTTTTGGATATGGATTTGTTCCCCTGTTTCGTGTGGAGGGTAAATGCTCTGAAACCCCTCCGGAACACCTTTGGTGTAGGGGCATCTTGCAAAAGTCGTGGGGCAAAATTCAGCCAGGACATTGACCGCAGGTTTGAACATTCCTCACATTTCGGGCAAGCCATTTTTGACCCACAGCCAACTTAGGTGTTCCGCACTCCTTGAAGAAGCAACATCCAACCGGGGACACACTTTTTTTGAGATGGGAAGCGAAGGCCTGCGCCATGACTTTTCACCCTTCGGCTTTTCGGAAGCCACAGCCCGCTCGAAGTGGCGGCGGAGGCTTCCCTATATGCATAGAGATCGAGATGTGGTTACGCACGCGCCCACGTCTTTTGTCATTTTCTCAACATCACTTTTTTGGGGGGGCCTTTGTGAGTTGAGTTTCCTTTTGGGGGGAGATATTTACGGGGAGATCTAGGACGACCCTCGGGTCTTCCAACATATCAAGTTCAGCCCGTACCCACTAGGAGGCAAGTGGTTTCCAAGTGGTACAGGCCTGCCGAAAGTAGTGACAAGAAAATGTGGGTGCAACCTTTGTCATCAGCTACACACCCTGGTTGAATGTACAGGGTGAACCCTGGTGACCCTGGTGTCCTTGCAATATTGAGTTGGCTATCCGCCGGGCCCCTTCAAAAAGACCGCCCATAAACTCGAACTGAGGAAATCGACCACGAGTGCGCGGTGGTTGGAGTGCCCAAGACCATTGACAATGCGCCTTGGAAATGTGAGGGGCCAATGCGTGTGGCTGTTTTGAGTCGAAGCTTCGGGAATCCTCCACGGTCTGTCTCCAGATGGCGGTCTGTTCTTGAGGGTACCGTTGCCCCAGTATTTTTTGCCAACCAACCAACCAACCAACCAATCAATCAACCAACCAACCAACCAACCAACCAACCAGCCAGCCAGCCAGCCAGCCAGCCAGCCAACCAGCCAACCAATTAATCAACCAACCCACCGACCAACCGACCAACCGACCAACCGACCAACCGACCAACCAACCATCTCCAAATCCAACAACTTCATCCCCCCCTTTCCCCACCCCACCCTGGCTTTTGCTGTTTGGAGGTGGGGGGGGATTTCCGCTTTCAAAACCTCCGGGGCTGTGAGGACGTGCCGATGATCGACCAGACCTTCGGCTTCGACACTGCCTGCACGGAGGCCGCCAAGGCGGTGAATACCGCCTACGTGGAAGCCAAGGGCAACGCGCCCCGGCGACGCGCGAAATTCGGGGAAGACGGGGGTCAGCGCCCGAAAGGGATTTGCCGTCAAGGAGAAGCCGCAAGGAAAACGTCTCTTCACACCTTGGGGTCGCGTTTTTTGGGGTTTCCTGGAAACGGACCTTTTCGGGTTCCGTGTTGGCCAATTTTGCTTCTTGGTTTCCCCCTTTTCCAGCCGACCTGCACTTGGCAGCCTCAAACGATTGGGTTTCCCGAGCCACGCCAGCTGCCACGTTTTCAGCCCATTTCGGTGGCAGTTTTGACCAAAGACTATCATCGACTTGCTTGATGTCAGATATCGAATCCCTGCCTCGAGGGTTGGGCATTGGTCCAAAAACCGGTGAGCGGGTCATGTGTCCTTTGCCTTCTGACATGGTAGTTGGACATGTTTCAGCCAGCCCTTCTTTGGTCCCCGCCCTCTCTTAGCACAGGCAACGTTTTCTCGTCTTTTTCCGTGGTGCCGGGAGGTTTAGTCGGAATCCGCTGAGAAAGAAAAAACAAGAAGAAGAAGAAGCTGGATAATTCCTGAGGCCAACTGCATCGGCTTGGTGAAGCTCATGGGCCGTCACTGCGGCTTCATCGCGATGAACGCGGCGCTGGCGGCCAGGACGGTAGACATCTGCTCCTCGACTCGAGGGTTGCTGCTCGTTTCCGTTCGGGAAGTTCAAGAAGCGCCTAGTTGGAGGTTCGGATTCTGGTGGTTTGGATTTGAACCCCTGGCTTTTGCAGAGGGTCCACCAAGCCAATCCAAACCGCCAATCACAGGGAAGCTGAAAGATGATTTCCACGTCCAGTCGCTGGCATGCAGCCATCCCCTGGCCGCTTTGAAGTGCCCTCTTTCAGTTAAAGCCATTCACTCTTTGCTTCTGACTCGCAAAAAACTTGCGCCCCAAACCCCAACCACCCACCCGCCACCCCCAAACCCCAAACCCCCCAACCCCCCCCCCCCCAACCCCCCCCCAACCCCCCAACCCCCCAACCCCCCAACCCCCCAACCCCCCAACCCCCCAACCCCCCAACCCCCCAACCCCCCCACCCTGCGAATCCTGCAAGTTGGAAACCGCCGGGTCCCGAGGCCTGATCCCGGAGATGGACATCGACCTGGAGAAGGCGCCCTGGGAATCCAATGCTGTTTAATATTTCTTACCAAGGACCAGTTTGGATGCTCAATGATGGGACCCTGAGAATTCAAAGCCGCGTGGCAGAGTTGCGATGAGCGAATTGTCTTGTGTCTTGTGTCTTGGTCCAATTCTGGCAGGGCTGCGGAGGACTACCAGGTTCTTTCCTCCCAGCAAGCCTGTTTCAACGCAAGCATGCTTGTAAAGATGACACATGCCAGCACGCAGCCAACAGCGGACCAACGAGGTTACACCCGAAACCCAAGAGGCACTCTTCTGACCGAAGGCGGACAAGCCAATTCAAATTCCGAAGTCTTGCGGAGATGTCCAGTTCAAAGGCCCAGGCCCGAACTGCAGGGGCAAAAGGGTCCTTTTGTTTTCAGTGGGAAGTGGTATTCCGGGAACCCGGCAAGAGACGTTTCATCCCGCAAGCTGGCTCTATTCGAAGCCTCACTTTTGGAAAGGCTGCAAAACAGACACAAAGGCCGGGTGTAGGGTTAACTGGGGGAACTTTCAAGAATACATCAAGAGCTGTTTGTGTAGGGTGCCGAGAACCCGCGAGATCTTCAGGTCTTGAAGCAGGTGGAGCAGCTCATGCGGACCAAGGGCCATTGCGTGATCGTGGTGGCGGAGGGCTGCGGCGATACCCTCATCAAGAGCTCTGGGGAGATCGATGCAGGCGATGGCTGGTTGGAAAGGAACGGCAGGATCGGACAAAGAGACATGCCCAGATTCTGGTTTCATCCAACTCGGGCACTCCTTTGGTGGGTTGGATTGGTGGAATTGCCCCACCTTGTGCGAGGAGGGTTCTACTGGCTGGGCCTGGGCTCTTTTTGGGGCAGGTTCTGATCACTTTTTTGGGGGAAACGCCATCTGCACCAAGCCGACTCCTTGCGGTTCGCGCGCTCGCTGCAACCGTTGTCAATGGCAAAATACGTGCCGTGGCTGCCCTGTAAACTCGTCATGGGCAGACCGTTTTTTAGTATCGAATTTTGATAGGCGGGTGAGGTGCCTATGAAGCTTTTCAGGCCCATGGCAACGCAGGAGAATCTGACATCATTTGGCTGTGTGCTTTTTTTAGTGAGGATACCCTTGTCAGGTTGGCTTGGCAGGGGAAGAAACAGGAAAACCGATTTGGGGATCCCCCCGGTGTTGACACCTCCCCGAGTTGTCTCAGTGCCTTCCAAGGGTCCCCCCCAGCCTTGGCCCGGGAGCCAGGAGTGACACGGTCAAGTGGCGGTTTTTCAGGTTCCCCTCTGGTGCTTTGGATTGGTTTGAGAAGAAAGCCTCCAAAGCACCAATCCAAATCACCAACTACAGGGGTTTCTTGGATGGGAAGCTAGGGAGAACCAGAAGCCAAACCAACGCAATCCAAATCACCAGGGCAACTGGCCGAGTTTTGCGGATAGGCGGCAACAAGATCCTGGCAGACGTGGGGCCTTGGCTGAAGGACACCATCACGGCTCGATTCAAGACCTTGCAGCTGCCGCTGACCATCAAGCGCCTTCGCCTGCGAGATATTTCAAGAGCTCATGGCCCGAAAGGTCCGTGACAGCTTACCCTCCGGGGAACGCGGCGGGAATTTGCAGGTTTCTTTGAGGGCGTCCAGAGCTTCCCTGCCCAGCTAAGGTACATCGACCCGACCTACATGCTCCCTGGCCAGAACACTCGCCCTGCCAAGAGCTATAATGGAAGTCCACTCGAACAGAGCCTCCTGAAAAAGGTTTTGCGGGACGGAGATCAATTCCTATGAAGAAACGGTTGCAACATTTGTCGCCACCCTTGGCCCAGTTTTCTTGCACCCTCCTTCCTCGCAAAGAAACAAACAAGGACAACAGAAACACTCAACAAACCAACAAACAGAAAACAATACAAACACGGTGGGCTGGTGGATTTCCCCCCCTTTTCTCCAACCTCCCCCAAACCAAGAAGCAACTCCTGGAGGGCGGATCCCCCCCCCGTGCCATGGACACCTAGAGTCTATTTTGCAACCAAGAACCCTAAAAAACGAACCCTAAAAAACCAATACCCTAAAAGAAGGAGGTTGCAAAATAGAGCCCAAGTGTCCACCATACCCGTCCCCCCATACCAAAAAGCAACACCAAGAGGTTCGTTGATTTTGAGGATCCGCTCGGTGCCGGCCAACTCCTTTGACAGCACCTACTGCTCCGTGCTGGGGCAGATGGCGGTGCACGGTGCTATGGCCGGGTACAGCGGCATCACCGCGCCTCTGTTCGCTAAAAACCGAATGGGGCGCCTGGGGGGGGGGGGGGTTCTGACAAGGCGGGTAAGACATTTTTTTGCCGGGGGTGGCCTTGAAGGATGCAGTTGGGCCAGGTAGAAAAGGAATCTGCCAGCCGGTTTAGACGATGATTCTTGTAAATCAGGCGGGTTTTGACGGATCCTTTGAGGAAGCCTGTTTGTGGGAAGCCAGCAGGAAACCGACCGTTTTAAGAGTCTTGGAGAAACACCAAGTCGTTCAGCCCGGAGCCTGGAAATTCCACAATTCCGAGAAATGAAACAAGTTGGAGGTCCTGCTTTTAAGCTCGCCCAGTTGGCAGTGGATTCCACCCCTTGGCCTTGTATTTGATGGGCCCAGAGGTATCAAAGTATCAACCCCTGAGGGTTCCAATTCTTGCTTAAAAGGCGGTTGCGTTTTCGTCTCTTGTGCACTTTTCACCCAATGAGTCGTGGAGATGGGCCCGGTTTCCGACGTCTGAATCTCTTCGACAGGTTGTGTTGCAAGCCCGGGGATCAGCAGCATGCACAAAACTCCCACCATTTTTCGATCAGCACATGGCCATTTTTAAGCATACATCAAAACATGACCGTTTCCACAAAACAACCAACAGTCAAAGGAGGAGGATCTGTCACTGTGCCAAGGCATCCAGGCCAAATAGCCAGATGTTGACTAATCGGTGGGTGTCCCCTTTTAGTGGGGGGTTTGTCACTTTGGAGGGAACCCCCCCCCCCATTGATCAGGACGGGCTATTATTCCGGGGTCGCCATTCGGGTGACCCCACTTAGGGGAGAACCACGTGGGGTGGCCATCCATTTGTGCCCTTGCCCAGTGCACTTTGCAAGGTTGGGAAGATCTATGAGCGTGGCTTGGCGAAAAAGAGTGGGGGGGGGGGGGGGGGGAAATATTTTGAGTCAGGCAGGCCGGAAGGCTCATAGAACTTGGGGTAGCGGCTGGGCTTGATTTGCTGCGCCTGGGGTGGCTTAGGCTACTGCTACCTGCCCATCCATGCCATTACGAACCAGAAGGGCAAACGCTGGAGGGCCCAGCTGTTCACTGCCGGGCTCCCGTTTTTGCGTACATGGGTCAAACAGTCGTCAGTGAATTCTGGTGGAAACTGTGTGTGTGTGTGTGTGGGATTGCTGGAAGGCCACGGTCAGAGAAGTGATCCTGCCCGCTTCCGTTGGAAGACGGTTGTCCCGAGCGGCATGCGTCTCAGTCAGCGCCTCGCCAGCTCGTCCTTTCCCAATCTCGGGTGAATGTGTGTTTTTTTCTTCTTGTTCTTTTTTTTCCTCCTTGTTCTCAAAAGGAAATCAAGCATTTTGGGTCTCCACATCCTGATCTTGAGACACGCCCATATACCCGGTTGGTTTCCTTGTGGTTTCCTTGCACAAGTCATAAACATCATCCAAAGTGGGGTTCGTTGTTGCTTGAGACACGGGGACGTTTGCAGGCGTGAACCCCAACGGCCGCTGGTTCTTCCGCATGACGGAGTCCACCAAGCAGCCCAGCTTCCGCCCGGCCCTCGTTTTTCTGGGCAGCTTCGCCCCTCTGGACGGTTGAAAGCCAAAGGACGGGGGACTAAAGCTTCTCAGAAAAAAGTCCAGGTGATACTCCCAACAGCATACGTCGCTCTTTTTCGACCCACGGAACCCTGCGAAACCTTGCCTCAGAACCGTCCGGAGCCCTCGCAGAACCCGCCGAACCCTCGCAGACCGCTGCCAAATTCTCGCAGAACTGTGCGGAACCCTCTCGCGCTGCATGGAACCTTACCTCAGAGCTGCCCCTGATTATCTCGGCTGAGACCCCAAAGCTTTCAGCTGTTGGGGAACCATTGCTTGAACCTTACACCAGGCCTGCACCAGACCGCCCCAAAACCTCCAAAACCATTGACACCTGGACCACCCCGGAACCTCCGAGAACATTGCTTGAAGCTTGTACCTGGCCCACGCCAGACCAAACCACACCGAAACTTCTGGAACCTTTCTGGAAACCTGACTACAGGGCTCCCCGAGCCATCCCCAAACCTTATCTGGGCTGAGACCCTTTAGCTTTCAGCTGCTGGTGAAAAATAGCTCGTTTCCATGGTTTGGGTGGGACCCTTCTGCAAAGGATCCCTGGAAAGCCAGGCCCCATTCGAGTTTAAGGAAATGCTGGTCCATTTAAGGTGAGTTTCTCTTGGTAGGGGTGCTCGAAGGGGGTGCCAAATAGCAGATTTGTTTTCTTGTTTTGTTTTGGTTTGAGTTGGTTTGTTTCGCCGCTGGGCGACCTTCCCACCGATCCCATGTTGACTGGCAGAGGGTTTTCTTCAAATGCATGCTCGTTTCACTTACAGGGACCCGGATCCTTTGGCCCATTTTCTGCAAGGGACGCGGTGGGTGTCAGAAGCAACGTGGGAGGCTACTCATGCGGTGGAGACGAAATCCATTCGCACCAACTTGAAACATTGTAGCCATTGTTTGTTGGTTTTTGCGTTTTGGGATCGAATCATTCCAGGTTTCTCAGATGCAGGATTTCATCCATCCTCTGTATGGTGGCGGTCATTTTGGGTTCCATATGCTTCTGGGGCGAGGAATCCGCGGAAGGCCCGGGTTCCGCGCCTCCTCTGCAGCGAGGCCCGGACGCGCCGGCGGCCTCGCTGAAGCTGCCACCCTCGGAGGCGACGAATGCGCTGGAGGCGGGGCGTGCGGCAGGGGAGGCCGAGGTTTCCGCGGGGTGGGGAACGGTGGGTTGGGTCCCCGAAACCGAGATGAAGCCAAGGGAAACCCAGGGGTTTCTTGGCATTTACCTTGGGGAATCGAAGCATTCCAGGGTCTTTTGGGTGGTGCATGTCGAAATAGGGATTTTGGACCCCCCAAACAATGGCTGTCTCATGATAGAAATCCGTCTTTTAAACGAAGTGAACCATGGAATTACTCAAACAACTTGCAAGCCCGAGTCCTTCAAAAGGGAAACGCCAAAGGGTCCCCAATTGATTTCATGCACATCCCCTGTTGGTTTCGTTTGGATCAGCGAAGTAGCAACAGCATTCACTACCCTCCCTTCAACAATCACGGAAACCGAGAGGAGGGCTTTGAAAGACTAAATGCCGTTTGGGAAGGCCAAACTGTCACTTCCATAATTGTTATATTTGTTGGATAGAGGGCAGTTGTTCTTTTTGTTTTTTCCGGACCCCTATGTAACACCCAGTGTGTTTGGGGGGAGAGGGTGCCGGGCTCCAATGAAGGGAATACTGAGGGCTTTGGCCCCGAAATGTTGGCAACTCGGCCTCGGGCTCGATGCAGCGTGCAGACCTGACAAGGAAGTGCAAAGAGCACGGAGAAGGCATGCACACACATAGACACCTTCAGGATCAACAAAGGGTACGGGATCCACGGCCAAGCGGGGGAATGAAGGGTCATGGAGCCGGATGCTGCTTCCACCCAAGACACTGGAAAATGACGGCGGGCCTCAAACGGAACCTTTGCTTGTTCATCTAGAAGGGCTAGGTGGTCCAAGCAACCTCCAGAGTCTTTCGCACATCGGCACAAGAAGCACAGACAGCAAAGCCACTGGGGCAAGTCATCGTGCCATCGCCCGTTTTCGCGGCGCTGCAAGCAGCGCCGGCCCTTCCGCGAGCGCGCTGGGGCCGCAGAAGCCGCAGGCCAGTGATTCGGCCAGGGAAGCAGTCGCCTGGCTGGGCAGCCGGGCGCGGCTTCAACACCAACGGCTGACCAAGACAACAAGTAGCCGGCTCACATCAATTGTTTCACTTACGTTGCTTTTGCCGTCTCGGTCTTTTTCCGAAACCCGTTGGGCATCCAGCGCGCGGGTGTTTGCACGCGCGCCAGGCGCATGGACCGCTTGGTTCTGGCGGCATGGGCTTGGGCGCCTCAGGGGGTGGCTTCCGGGTGGGGGAGGGGGGGATTTGAATTGCCCGATTCACTCCCAACAAAGCTGAGATAGGGCACGCAATATGACACGTCCCCCCCTAGCCCTCCCCCAATAAAGGACCGTCGCGCGAGGCTCTTCATCCCAGTTTGGGGATGGGAGATGGCTTAGCGGCCCCTTCCATGGCCGATGTGGCCCCAACCATTTGCTGATATGGACCTGGTTTTGAAGGTTCGAGGCAGGTGTGCGAAGGCTCCAGTGCTGACCATGCTCAGGTTGTGAGCTGTGGATCCCGGTTTTCTAGATCCCCTTCGCAGGCAGCACCTGTGCAGGCCTCCCCCCCAAAAGAAAAAAAGAGAAAAGAGCGCCAAAGCAAACGTGGGTGTCCTTTTGAAGCGGCAACACAAAGCCAACGTTCACCCTCCCCAGGCAAGCGCTGCCGCCCCCCCCACCCCCCCAGCCCAACGACTGAGGTCCTGGCGCTAGTGGTGGGCTTCCTGCACTACATCGAGGTCTCAGGCCCTTTGCGGATGCGCCGGACGTCAAGAACTCATGTTGCCCCCCCCACATGTTCCCCTCATTCTCCAGGGTTTTTGAGCCATTTCCTCAAGGGAACCTCCAAGAGTGGCGGTGTCAATGGAAATAAAGTGACTTTTGTTCTCCCTGTTTTGGGTTCCACCATTGTTATTTTTGGGTGAGAGGGTTTCCGTGGAACTGGGCAAAGTTTTGGCCTTCTACGGCCCTTGGGCCGTGCCTCATCCCTCATCCCTTATTTTTTTCCCACGCGCCCGCGGAATTGCAGGCTACAATTGCGTGACCAATGGCCTCTCCGTGCCAGAGCAGAAGGAGGTGTTTCTCAAGACCGAGCTCCTCGCACGCGTTGTTTAAATCGGCCCTTGAGCTGGCCGATTTGGTCCCGATTTGGTTTCTGGGGAATGGCCCAGAAGCTGAGGAGGAGTTGCAAATGGTTTAGGGATGCCCACGGCGATTTTGCACGACCTGTTTAGGTGTTGGGACTAAAGTTTATGTTGCGTTTCGTGCTGGAAAGGGAAAGCAGCAGGGGCGCTCCTTTTTCAACAACCGCCTTGGTCGTTGTGTCCACTGGCTTGTGGCTGGTTTACCCTTCGGGACAAGCTGCCCCTTGCCGCCGAGCCAACCATTTCGGGGCTCAAGGGCCGCTCGCGCTTGCGCCCAGGAATGCGTTTTACTACTCCTACTATGTGACTCGGATTGGTTGGCGGTTTCATGAAGCCCCGTGGGGCTGGGGGACCGCCTGTGTCGCTTTCTAGAGTGCCGCTAAAGCTGACTCAACCTCACAAAGTCTGTTGCCAATGCGGCAGGCACGCTTGTTGTTTGAAGTTCTTGCGAAACTTACTGGTTCTCCGCGGGGAATGAGTTGGAATGACCCTGAACAAAGCCATCCCTTGTGGTTCCTTTTCAGGGAATCCCACACCGTGCATTCCCAAAACCCTGAGTCATTCCTTACTGAGCGCCAGCAAGGAAAGTGTGCCTGGCACATGGGCGCTGTTGCATCTCAGGGTTTGGTTCGATTTGGAAAAGGCGTCGCCATGAGCGGTGTGACAGTGTGAGACGTCGCGCAAGCACGCGCCACGAGTGGTGGTGCACTAGCAGGATGTACGCTGTGTGCGGCTGTGTGTTGATTGTTGCCAGTGGGCGGTCACTTCAATAGCACATGAGATAAACATACTAATGTTGACCCAGGATTAATACTCCCGTCCTATTATTAAGGGGTGTTCCCTCCAAAAGTGGTCTGAATCCCGACGAAAAGGGGACATCCCCCAATCAAAATCAACCAGAGGTTTATTAATCCTGGGTTAAGAATAGTTTGGATCCTTGCTTATGGACACCCTTGCGGTCCACAGCTTCAGGCATGGCTCGGGCCATCGGCGAACGAGAGAAACCGGGGAGCCGCCTGAGTGGAAACCATCAGCAAGCATCGACCACCAGCACCACCAGAAAATCGGGGCGAAGCGAAGAAACAGCCAGGGGCAACAAATTGTTGAGAGGGGGGTGGAGGTATGGGGAGATCACGGCAGCCACCTTGGGATCCAGTGGAACGGCCGATAACACCGTTTCCAACAATCGCAGAAGTGGACTGTGAGGCTTTGGAAGATCGCCATCCTCCTGAAAAGTGCCCCTGCCCACTTTCAGGATTGTTGGACACTTCCCTTCATTGGTTCGTTGCTTGCATTTCGGGCATCCAACATCAAGCGCATTTACAAGTAATAGTAATGATGGGTTTTGGAGGTGTGGACGCTTATGTACCACCAAACAAACCTTGTAACCCAGTATGTCCCCTTATATGGATACCTCTAAATCCACCAAAAAGCTAGTGTATATCTCATTACACCTCCACACCCCCTAACAACACCCCCCCCCCACCCAATGCCCCAACAAACGCCTACCAGACAACCAGTATATACCTCATTATATCTGCATTTTTTAAACCTCCATATTCCCAGCCATCCCCTTAGCTTTTTAGCTTTTTAGTGTTTAGTGGAGATTTCCATTTAGCCCACCAAGAGTTAAACTTTTAGCGCGGCATCTGAGCCCAGTTTCGAGACCTCCGATCTGTTGGAAACGTCCCGCAGTCAGGAGGAGTTCGTTGAGGCCCCGACTTTGGGCGCCGCTATGGGGCGGATGCTGCGGGACGACCGCAGCGAGGCGCCAGACGTGATCAACGCGCTGCACCGTGTCGAGCTGAGTGGCGGGGTGTGGGCCCCTGGGGGGGCGGAGGTTGGGAGGTTGGGAGCGGCCAAACCCTCTGGCTCCCTTTGATTTGGTTTGATAAGGAAACGGTCCGAAAAGGCGGAAAAACAAGGGCGGAACCTGGCAAGAAGATTGTGTTGATGGCTGCATATTTCAGGCCGCCCAAGCTGTTCAAAGAAAGTCTCCCGGTTTTGGGCAGTCCCTTACCCGTGTTTTGAATTTGACTCAGGTCCCTAGTCACTTTTTAGAAATCGACCGATGGAGAACGGCTTCCTTTGTCTCGCCTTGGAACAAGCAGTAAGCAAATTGGGGTTTCGCTTTTTTTGATGGCTTTAAAGAGAAGCCAAAGCGGCACACCTCTTTGATGACATCCCTGTTTGCTGGCCCCCTGTTTGATGACACACCTGGGTAGTGGCCTGGTTAGTGTGGGTAGCAGGGGAACATGGGGCTAGGAGACAAGAATCTTTGAGATAGTTCGGGGAGGTCAGGAGGCAATGCTTGAGGTGGCCTGGGTTTGGGCCTTGACGCGGCGGGCTCCAGCCATGTTTTTCGCTTCTCATGTCCTGAAGTCCGAGGCTTCAACATCTACCAGGAGGTGATCTGCGGTCTCCTCTTCCGCGGCGCTGCTCATTTCCTTGGCCGTGCCCGCCTCGGGTGTCTTGAACCATGGCCCTCCCGAGGGAGGGCCCTCGCCAGATCTGGGGTCCTTTGTTTTTCGCTCGAGTGCGAGTTGTTGAGTTCCCCCCTTGGCTTTCGAACATGGTGTTGATCCGAATTTGCCACGTCCTCGTCAACCGAATTCCCTGGCAGCCAGGAACGAAAAGGATCGCACGCTCGAGGTCCGCCGCTTTCGCCCCGACAGCCCCGACCAACCGCGCCAGTAGAGCCGAAGAAGTTGGAGATGCCCAAGTTGACGGGACTGCCAGCTTTGAATGGGGGAAAATTGTGCCGTGTTGGGAAAGGCGGTGTTCCCCAGTTCATCATTTGCCATTTTTTTGCGGAATGAGTTTTGACCGCTCCAAGGCGAAAACTTGGTCGACCCTTGGTACTTCTTCCGCAGCTGCAGCTATGTCCGCGGCTTGGGATGCTGAGGTTCCGAGTCCAAGACAAAAACCAATGTGCCATCCACCTTCGCCCAGCTCCACCCCCTGGTAGCTTCAGCTCTTGGTAGCTTTTGGGTTGAGGGAGGGGTGGACGGATGGGATTATTTGAGTCGACGGAAGGCAAATTCCAGTGCCTGAATGAACAAAAGGAACAAAGATTGCCTTTGGGCTCTGGAAGTTTCCCAAGCCATGAGGATAGGATGTCATTTCACCCATTTTCTGAGCTCCTCGTGTTTTATACTTGGGAAGGCCGTTCAACCGTTCAATTGGCAATGAAACAGCTTGGACTTGTCTTGCTGGTGCGATAGGTAGGGAATAACCCAAAGTTTGGGAATGAACCGTTTGGGGATCCCTTGGGGAAACAAATCGGGTGGATTGTTTTTCTTTCTTTTCTTCTCCTTTTTCTTTTTGGGGGGGGGTCATGAACCTAGGGATTCCCTTAGAGGAAGCCACAGGGAATGTTCTCTTCCTTCTTTTTTTTTTTGGGGGGGGGGGCGGGTCATTCTATTTCTCCTCCCCTGCCTATTGCACCCATCGCGTGTTTTTTTGGAGCCACTGGGTCTGATTCGCGAGGCCTTGCAGGGCCTGGGCCACGTGGCGCTGCTGCGGCTCCTGGCGGCCCTCACCGGGGACGGCTGGCCGGCGCTGATGCCAGGCGTGGCTTCGGCCTCCGCGCGCCTTTCGAAGCGCCTCGCGCGTTTCGCGTTTCGCGCGGCTGGCTGGCGAAGGGGCGAGAGAGGCAGTTGTTGGGCGTGGGTTCGTGGGGAGGTCCGGAGGTCCCGGCTGTTGGTTGGAAGGGACCCGCAAGGACATGGTAGGGGTGGATGGTTGTGGATACCCCGATTTATGTCATTTTCCTCCGCTTCGCCATTCGTTTTGGAAAGGCCGTGTTAGGAGGATACAACAAGTGTGGAGTTCATGCTTGTAAGGAGTCTATTTGCGGCATGTTCAGAGGACACCATACGTTTGTCATTTTGGTTTAACATGACACGGGCTCAATGAGTGGGGAGCATCTGCGCAGTCAGGATGCTTAGGGTTCTTGAAGTATGTGTAGGACATGTTTGCTTGGAAAAGTCTCTGGAAGGTTGAGATGGCCAGTGGGATTCTGAACAATTCTTCGTTCTGCTTGGCTCCTGCGTGCGAACAACAGCTGGGACACGCCGACGTGGAGCAGACCTTTCACAACATGGGTGCGCAATGAGCTCGCAGGAGCATGGCTTGCAACATCCGGTTGCCATTGGGCGGGCGCGCTCGCTTCTCAGAGCGTCGAGGGTTTCTTCCGGAGTTAAAATGGTGTTTCTGACATGGTTTGAAAGTGGGCTCAAAGGGAAACACGCATTTTGAGGGGTTGCCTCCAAAAAGACAAACCCATATTGGCATGGGATGAACCAACTGGAGTTATGTGTCTCCTGTAGACCCCTTATAGAGTCAGGAGTTGTCTTGCACTGGGTGATGGCAACAAAGTGCACAATCATCATTCCAGGCTCTCCAAGGTGGTGCGAAATGGTTTTCGCCCATCCACAGTACGTGTGAACGGCATGCCGACGTGACAGAGTCAGCATGGCAGGCCTCTCCCTCGCCATTCTGACCTTCCTGCACCGCCGCTTGGAGATGCGTCAGGTGTTTGCAATGGCTGTTTTTGGACAGCCCCGTTCCGGGACATCTAAAAGGGAATGCACTCATTTTTGTTTTGGGCGTAGGTGGGTACCCCGTTCTGGGGACAGGATTCCAAGCAGAATTCCATTCCGAGGCCTGGACTTCAGCCGCATCCACGACGTGGGCATGCTGGAGTTGCGGGAGCCCCTTGGCGAGCAAAAGCCGAGCGAAGGATTCGCACTGCCACTGGGCGAAGGGGTGGCTGCCTGGTGCCTGGTGCCTGGGTTGACACCAAATTGATTCGAGATCGGCAACTCAGGAAGCTTTTACGCGTTTATGTTTGGAAGTGCAATGTCGCAGCTGGTTGCTGTTTGGGAGGCTCGTGATGTTGGCAGGAATTGGGCCATGCCAGTCATCATTGCGCAGGCCGGGCCGAAGTGTTGTCTGGATACGGCCTTGATGATGTTTTGCCATCCCAAAAGTCAACCTGCAGCTCTGCTTGGCCCTTTTCAAAAAGAGAGTAGTTTTGCCAAACAAGGGTTTCTCACCTCCATCTGTTTGGAGGGTTCCTCCAATCCGTTTGCGATGTTTCTTCCTTTGCGCTGTTGTCCTTTCGGCGCTTGTGCTTTGGGTAGCCTTCTTTGCGATTTTAATACGTTTTCAAGGAGCAAAGGTTCTCTACAACGGCCCTCTTGGATGAGTCTTCCCTGTTTCCAATAGTCAGCCCCCCTACCAGGAACAATTCTTCCCAGGCAGGTTCCAAGAAGCCTAATAGGCTTTTTCCACAGAAGGTGGACAGGCTTCGCCCAAAAGGGAAGTTTTCGCGTAGAAGGAGCGAAGAGGCAAAGCGCCTGGACGGGGTTTGTTGAGACGGGCATGGTGGCGGGGACTTTTTTTCGGAGGTCTGGGCCATGACAAAGCTCTTGATGACCCACCCGGACCTTTGCGGAGAAGAGTCCTGGGAGACTCGGCAAGCGCGGGGCTGGGGGCCTGGGGGCTCTGGCTTTTGCGATGCACCGTGTGGCAAGGATCCAAAATCTATCTGCCCACTTTCTGGTGACCTGGGGGGAAACAAGCCCACCGTGATGCAGGTCCTTTACCCGGGCATCCCTTGCTTTAGGCTTTGGAAGTAGTGTAGAAGCATCCAGACATGTAATGCGGGGCGTCATTCCGACGGACCGCTTGTTGGATGAGAAAAACTACAAAGGGGTTCGATTGAAGTGCCGTTTGGGTGGCTGATACATCTACCATCGTCCCATAAGGTGGTTGGCAATGAGCCTGGTCTTGGACGATTTCCTGCAGGGGCTTGGTGGATTCCATGGTGGGAAATCCACCTTTCCTTGTGGCATTGCGGGGTTTCCCTTCCGACAGATGCCCCATGAGCAAACCTTGGAGCTGGAGAGGTCCATAGTTCACTCACCGAAGGGACCAGGACCCCCAGCCTTTTGGCGGTATTGTTTTAAAGCACCTTATTTGGGGGTGCTTTGGGGACACCAAAAGGAAGGCTAATGTTTTGACACACACACACACGCACCACAGTCTTCTTGCAACCTTTGAGGATTTTTTCCATGGTTTCGAAACCATGGCTCGTATGCTCCAGTACCGAGCTGAGTTTGAAAGGGATCTTCTTTTGCAACCCCTGCACATGGTGGTTCTGCTTTTGCTTCTTCATGTTTTCCCACTTGAAATATGGGTGCGCCAAAAATACACCACACACAAGCGCACAAACATCACCACCCAAGCCCAGGACTTCCTGCGCTGGAGGTGGGCCTACCGATTGCTCACGGCGCCGGCCCCAGAATATCTCGGCTCGCTTCACTGGAAAGGTTTCACTACTGTTCGTGAAAACATGGTTTCACAGTTCGCCTTTCGAGCCTGGAGAATACCTTTGAGGATGTCAACTTGGTAGATCCAGCCAGCGAGTCACAAATTGGGCTCCAAGTGCAGGACCTACACAGTGAGCTCGTTTCACTCCCCAAGCTCGTCATAAAGTTGGGCAGAACCCCATGGCATCCAACAGAATCGAGAAGGTTTGGCACAAGTATCCGGCGGAGTCCGGAACCACTTTTGGTGGGGATTAAACGAGCATGTCTAAGAAGGACGTCACTGGCACCCAAGCAAGCAAGCAAGCAACTAACCAAGCAAGCCAAGAATCCTTCCGAGTTCACCCTCCTGCATAGGACCAGGACTCGAACCTTCGCCCTTCTGGGAGTTTCTACGGGGTTCTGGAAACACAAAGTCAGAGTTCCTGGCCAAACCACCAACTAAGGGTTGGCTAACTTGAAGAACATTTGCCGTTCTTTTTGTGTGGACTCGGCCTCTGCACTCCCATGCTCTGGATGGTTTCGCTTCGTGGTGCGAGAAGCGGATTTCGTCCACCTTGCAGAAACTCTCGTTTCTGATCGCTTCAAGCTCTTTTTTGTGTGGTGCGAGAAGCGGATGACTCGCAACCATCCAGAGCTATGCAAAGCCACGCAAGGACATGGTGAGCCGTTTCCGGTTGGTCCCTCTAAAACCATAACCCCTCCCGCCCCCCCCCAAAGAAAGAAGAAAGAAAGAAACAGACAAAAACAACAAACAAACACACAAAAGGAGGCGAACCGACGCCAAACGTGCGCTTTTTCAAGCCGTCGAAAGCAAAAATGACAAAGCAGGATCAGGCACAATTTCGCAATACATCAAATATACAAGCACGCGCTCAGAGTCAATATGGTTGCTCGCATTCCGCTTTTCTTATGTAGGGTTCTTTTGGCTGTTGGATCCTGCGCGATTTTGCGTGGTTGAGGACCCTTTCTAATTTCCATGGTTAATTCTCACTGGCTTTCAGCAAAGTAGCTGCACCAGTGTTTGCCCGAGCATAGGGTGTTATCCGTCCCAACTGGTGCAGGATTCGGTCCGTGCACAGCTTGCTCCTGTGCGTGTTTCGTACACAAACAGCACTGACTCGACAGCTCCGCTTTCCACTTCAAGTGGATTTGAACACCTCCGCTTGGGCTTTGGCAAATGGAAAGACACCCTCTGAGCTCCAAACAACCCCAAGCCACCCAAAGGAAAGCCGATCTTTTCCAGGCCTCCTGTTGCAAACTGAAGGGTTATTGGGTTTCAGGCCGCTGAGTTCTCGTGGCCGGTTTTGGGATCCAGAGCAACGAGTGGATCCCCCGATCCCACTTTGCAAGTAAACCAGGCACACTCAACCATACTCCACCAAACACATGGTAAGTTACAGTAGGTTAGAGGAGGTCCTGGTTCTCTTAATGCTGGCCCCGGATTAATTGACACACTGGTTGGTGAAGAATAGCGGGAATATGGGGGGTGTCCCGTTTCGTGGGGGTGTCCCCGTTTCGTGGGGGCTGGTCACCTTTGGCGGAACACCACCCTATTCTTCAAACTGGTTCATTGTTCCGGGGTCAACAGTGCTCGAAGGCTGTGTGTATGGGTCCATATATGAACCCATGGTCATTTTGGACCCTTTGGTGGCGGTGATTTCCCATAACTCACCCATAACTAACGGTCAAATAGCCCAGAAACCAGGGGTTCGTTCAGACATATGGACGTAGACATTCAGCCTGTGAATTACGTTGCAATGGGCATCCTGGCCCTTCAGGTGGTCTGCATCTTGGTGTGGCAGTTCTCAGCCTTTGCCTTCCTGCTGCAAGTGTCTGCGGCCTTCCTCTGCTGCCTGCTTTCTTGCCGCCCCGGTGCCTCGGTGGGTGACTTAACGTGGGGAGCTGGCAGCCAGCGCGTTTTCATTCCTTTTTTTTTTTTTTTTTGGGGGGGGGGGGGCAAGGTTGCCTTTTTGGAACCTCCAAGAACCACCAGAAAATTGCAACCTGTGAGGGCGAAATCCAGTGAGGCAGGGGCGGGGGTGGGCCGAGCTGCTGGCAGACTGTCCCGTCGGAGCTTTCGAATTGAGAGGCGTTTGACAGCTTGAGGCCTAGCGGCCCAGCTCAGGCTTTCATCCCTCGCATTCTTCTGACTAACTTGCCCACAATGCAGCCAGAAGCAGTTCTGTGCACCCGTCAGCATGAACTATACTTAGTTCTTTGCTTTTCGGTTCCTGTAGATGTTTCGTGGGGGTTGGAAAGGACAGCTTGTCTGAAGGTCAGGTGGAAGTTCAGCAAGCCGCAGCTTCGGCTTCTGTGGCTTCAAACATTGTGGTTCTCTTTCGGACGCCCTCCCTGCAAAAAGGGGTCCGATGAGTTGGGTTCGATTCACATCACCGGCACAGCCACATCTTGATGCTCTCATCTTGGCGTACATTTCTCCCGCCAACATTGTTGGTACATGACCCTGGGTGAGAATCCCACAAGGCCACAGTGGTGCCGTTTGACTGCAAAGTGATTGGACGCGATCCTATGTCCTTATCCAGCCAATTTACAGATCTTGAAAGGGAAACAAGGGGAGCTTGCCATCGTCCATGGTTTTTGTGGATCCCTACCGTGTAGGGAACCCATCTTAGCTTGAGCTGAGTTTGATATGGGTTCTCCAAGGCAACACACACACATATACAGTGTGTATATATATATACATGTAGATACACACACATATGTGTATATATATACACATACATATACATATAAAAATGCTCGCTCCCCCTTCTTCTTTCTTTCAAAGTTTGTTTGCAAAACATGCAGGGTGAAGCTTTTGCTTTCAGATCTGGGCTGGTAGGCTGTTTCTTTCAAAGTTCTTCACAAAAAGGTCGAAGTCAAAGTGTTGCTTTCAGAGGAGTGGTCGACTTTTCTTTTCCGCGATCCCTTCAAACAACAGGTCGTTTCAAAGTGTTGCTTCCGTTGGACTGGTAGACATATACATATACATATATATATATATATATCCACATATGCATGTATCTACCGTAACGTAAGGAGCTTACGTTCGCCGTCGCTCAACTACGGCCCACGCAGGTGGGCAGCGTAGTCACGCGGGGTTGGGTGGGCTGGGGTGGGGGGATGAGGTGGGGTAATAGCGTATCACGCCGGGTTGGCGGGGGTGGGGGGTGGGGATACTGGCGTATGTCGTCTACTGCACTGCCACGCCTACATAGTCGTCACGTGCGGTTGGGGATTGGGTGGGGTGGGGTGACGGCGTACGCCGTCCTCTGCGCCGCAGCGATCGTTACGCGGGCTTGTTCAAGGGAAGGTCTATTTACATAGATGTACCCTATATATGTATATCTGCGTGTATCTTTCTTGGTTGGTACAGTTTGGGGAAAGTAGATGGCGTCAACTCCCCAATTTTGGAATAGTTTTACCCTGTACTTACCGACATCTACCAGAAATTGGGGCATCTACCTTCACCCAACCGGATGTCCATTTGGGTATGTGTCAAAAACACCCTGGTTTCTTGCCTTCTAAACCAGCCCTGAAAAGGGCACCCTAAAAAAGCACAAGCCCTAATGTATGGAGGTGCCTCTTTGAGGGTACGTTTTCTTTGGGTTGCTTTAAAGGGACGCCAAGCGGAACCCACGGGGCGCGGGGGGGTGCTCTGTGTCTTCGGTTTCGAGGTGCCCGCAGCGCCATGACTGAGCTGGTGACCTCTCAGCTGGTGGCGGTGGGGATGGCGGGGGTTCTGCTCTTCGGAAACGGCCTGCTGGCGCCATGGGCTCGCACACATCCCGGGAAGTGGGTTGGCCAACAGAGAGCGCTGGAGCTCTGTACCTTCCGGGGGCGCACAAATCCAGGGCAGGGGATGGGCAGGGATTGCGGGCCAGCAAAAATTGCCGGGGGATTGCCACGAGATTGCCAGGGATTGCCAGGGGAGCTCTCTACCTTCCGGGGGGGCCAAGGGTGGATTTCGGGTGTGAGGATTTGCTGGCTTCAAGCTTTGCAGGCCCGGGAAACACCCGTACCGAATCGCTGGCCCCGAAATCGGGTTGACCTGAACCGAAACCTGAACCAAGCAAAGGGAAGCCAACTGGAACAACCGGTCCCTCATCCACTAAATAGGGTTTGGTGTTGACGCAAGTGACCAACATGTTGTCTTAGCAACGTTTTGGGCCCAGGGCTCAAGCTCGATTTCCCCTTGGAAGGATTCCAGCCGAGCGCGGGGTTCTAGCCCTATTTTCGAAAGGGAGGAGGAGTTGCAGAAGCCGCCTGGAATGGAAATCGGATTTGGCAACAGCTGGTTTGACCTTTTTTGGAAGTGGTTGGGTGTGTCTGGAGTGATTCTGTGGACGGACGAAATCCGTTCGCACCACATTGAAATCCGTGGTTGAAACCATTGTTTGTTGGTATGTGCAGGGGGGGTCATCAGAAACCAGGTGGTCCGAACCGGATTTCGCAACCATACAAATTTTCAACCAAACTCTGCCTTCTGGCCCAAGGGTCAGCTTCGAATCCGCATCCGCGGGCAGGGATCGACTGAGAGATCCGTTGGTCTGTGGCCTGGCCATGGTATTTAAGGGGAGCCAACAGGAACCAGTTTTGGGGTTCATGACAAGGGACACCAACAAAGGCCCCCCACCCCCCAAGAGATGCTGAGGTGCAGCACTTGCTGGTGACCCAGTGTTTGGCCATCAGGCCAGGAGTGGGTGGAAGTGACGTGACTTTTTCTCGTGACCGGGTGATGTGTCCTTGGGAAAACTTTTTCCTTCAAAAGAAGATAAGGGGAACAAGTAACACTTCCGCGGAGCCGACTCGGGCAAGTGAAGCTTAGTGAGGCACAATCACCTCACACCAGTAGGTGCGGATAAGACGCCCTGTTGGTTCTTCACGTTGCGGGTACTACTTTACTCTCAGGTTGTGATGTTGGCTCTACAGGGCCCCTCAAAGGATATCGGGCCAGTGAACAAATCACCAAACTGCTGGCTTAGATCGACTCGGTTGCAAGCAGGTGGCTTTTTTGCCCGGCCCGCTGGCCTCGAAGAGGCTTCTTGTGGGCTTGTGTGGTTTGGAAGGGGGGAAGGGAAACCAAACGGGGAGAGTATGTATTCGAAGTATGCTGAGACCTCCGATTTTCCAGACCCCCTTGTTTGATATTCCCGCGTGTATATATGTTTATTTATGTTTATATATATATATATATTTTTCCCCTCCCCCCCCCGGCCGCCCCCCAGTTAGCCCCCGGACGTCCCCCAGCGCTAGAGCGGCCAGGGCGGTGCTGTGGCTGCGGAAGGCGCCGAGCTGGCGGCTGCTGTTTTGGGTGGATGGGGCGCTGGCGGCGCCTCGTCGGGTTCCGGCTTCGGAGTTCGGGTGTCGAGCCTGGGGAACCTCGGCGGGGCAGCTGTGACTTTTCTGGGATGGGCAAAAGGGAATCCTTCCTTATGGTCGGTTACGCGCAGGGTTGCTTTGGTAGTGGTTCAACCCTCCATTTGGAACAGCCAAGCTTCTCAGATTGAGGGGTCGGCCAAAGGAGCAGTGGGCATTGGCGTGTCAAAGAGATGCAGCCCGGAGTTTCAATCAGTTTGGCGCGGCCGCGCATGTCGGGGCACGAAGTGTTGATGCTTAGCTCGTTTCCCAATCCCGTGCAAGTTTGCGGGCTTTGAGCTTCAAAGCGTTTCGGAGCTCAAGTCGGATCGCGATTTGGGAAGAAGCGGGACGCACACTGGGTATGTGTCAGCATAGGCCCCACAATTGTGGTTAAACTCTTTTGGGTTTCCTTTTGAGCCGACCTAAAAAAGGGTGCGCTAAGAACCCAATGTTTACGGACTCCGGATTGCCTCTTTGCGCGTGTCAACAAAATACGGGGTCGCCACACATTGTGCTTTTCCTTTGGGTTTCGTCCATCAGGACAGACGCGTCCCATTTTTCGGGGAAGCCTCCCTCGCTTTGGGGCCAAACGCATTTTGTTTAAACACACCCCCTCGAAAGAAAAAGGAAGCCGAAATGAGGCTGCTGAACAGTTTAAACACTACCCTCCTGTCTAACATGGAACCTGACGTTTCGGGGTCCTGGAAGCCTATTTTGCTTAAGGGCCTAGCCTTCGGTCTCCGAAGTTTCTTGCAGTCCACTTAAAGGAAAAGCCACCAGTTGGTCGGTTTATAAGGGCCTCTTGGTTTCCCAGTTAATGTCCCAAAAGCTTGAGGTGGGTCTCTTCCTGATGCTGCGGATTCTACAGAGCCCCTTCGCCACGGCGGACGAGCATGTCTGGGAGCTCTACGCGCCACTCGCCCGCACGCCTCTCGGAGTCTCGCCCGCGCGCGGCTGCGCGGCTCCTTCGTCATGCGGGGCACACTGCGTTGGCAAGCGTTCGGCGTGCCAACGTTGGGGGGCGGGTCCTCACATTCTTAGTTGTTTAGTTGTTTGGGTGATGTGAGGGTGTACCTCGTGAATGCTGTACAGCGGGTCGGGGAGTAGGCAGTGTCTAGGGCCGCGAGATTCTTAAAGTTTCGATTTGTACAGAACCTGCTTCATGGCTCAGACAGGCTTGGTTGGGCTCAAGCCCTCAAACTATTGCAGCGCCCATGCAACACTTGAGGAACAAGATGCGGACCTTATTCCCCTCCTACCTGTCTCCTGTGGTTCAGAAGGAGCCCACCTTCAATACGAGGCGGGGCAAAGGTCCAATGGGTCGTACTAGAATATTTCTGGAGGGTCGACCAACCGAAAGAACGCATGTCCTTTTTTTGCACATAGCCGTTGGTCAAAGAAGCAGCTGCACAAAGGGCAATTTGCCGGCGGCTGGGTACATTCAACCAACGGCATATAGATGCCAAGTGCTATCTCTTGAATCATGCTCATATGTTTAATCTCCCAAAAGGAAACCACAGGGGACGGCCAGCTCGCGTTCTTCAGACTCCGCGCACTCTGGGTCTTGGAAGTGGCCGTCCTCCGATGGCCAGGCTGTACAACGCGGTCAGCGTCTTTGACTTCATCAGCGCGGCGCTCGGCAAAAGGTGGCCCTGGTTCCAAAGCACGAATCATTTGGAGCCACAAATGAACCTGAAACAATCTGAAACGGTCATTTAGACTCTAAAATTTAGACATGGTAGTTTCGAAACAGGACGTTGCTGTTTTGGATTTCCCGCCATTTCTAAGTGGTTGTTTCAGGGCTCCAGGCACAAATGAAGCCACAGCAGGAGTGATCACACGTGACTATGGCTTGCCGTGCGGCCCCAGATCGATATGTGAAGCCAGCTGGGCAGCGTTTGGGTCAGTATGGCGTTTGCCCGATATGGTTCTTTTTTGGGTGTGCTTTTCGGGTGCTCGGAATGGGCCGTTTAACGGAAAAAGGCTTTGGCACCTGCCTCTTTGCCGGCAATTTCGTTGCGTACCCCGTTGCCAAAGGGGTCAGGGGGTCGCGTCACGAATGCTTTTGCCAGGACTCACTGCCGCACATTGGGATTCTCTTGGCTAACTTAGTCGGGCGGAAGGCTCCACATGGCGAAGGGTCGAAGGGTCGACATGGCGAGGCTTTTGGTGGACTCTATGGAGGCCATGTCTGTCTCAGAGCCTCACTCTTTTGCTTGTGCTTGAGGGACAGCGCGCGGACGGAGATCCAGAGGCAAGGTGGCTCAGACGCTGGCTGAGTGAGGTGGAAATTCCAAGCAAAGCAGTATGGAACTGCACAGAGCCAAAGCTTCCAGCAACCGGGTCCCGTCCCGCGCACCGCATGCACCATGGGCCCGGAGATCATCCCCTTCGCACTGGGGGGCATGTTGGCAGTGCTGGTGTGGCTGGTGGTGATCTGGGCCTCTTGCAACAAAGCCGAGACCGTGGTCTTTAAGGACCCCTTCCTGGAGGAGGCGTTGGGGAACAAATCGCGACCTGTGCGCGTCGCGAGCCGCGCGAGCCGCGCGAGTCGCGCAAGGGCGGGGGTGGGAGTTGCGACGTCGTATGTTTTGTTGCTTTGTGTCCCGACACGTCGCGGGGGATGGCTGGAGGGCAACTTCAAGTCAATGGCTGCTGGATGCGCATGCCGATTTCCCGGCCAGTCCCAAACCAGATCAACGAGCTTGAATCATTCCGAAGCTCTTAAAAAAAGAAAACACACCCACACACACACACACACATAATCACACATACCCTACTTTTTGTTCATGGATCTAACATGGCTTCTGGATTTGCCGGTCCCCTTCTCCAGGTCTTTTTGCGAACTTGAGAGTTGCGCTCTCGCTTTCGGTTTTTTACCCGACTGTGGTGGATGCCCCGATTCGATGTTGCAAGTAAGCCAACCACGCAACCAACCACAAAGCCACGGTAAACATGGTGTTCCCAGCCATCTTAGGTATTTAGCATTCCAGTGTTTAGTGGTTGGGTTTCCATGTAACCCAATAAAAGGTATATTTTGGCAGGGAGTCTGAGGACAGCCCTGGCAAATCAGAGTAAACTCGGGGGGTTTCCTTGTTCCCTTACTTGCAATCGGGCATTTAGCGTACCGTCGTGTTATTCTTCCCCTTTCGGTTTTCCGAAGGATGTCACGGAGCACTTTTTTTCGGGCGACCCAGCCAAAAAAAGCGTGCTCTTTTTCTCTGAATGGTTCTTGCTGTTTTGCAAACACTTCTTTGGTGATTTAAAGCGGCATTGTGTTTTTCTTGCGATGCATTGTTTTCAAGTACCAGTTTGGATTGGTTGGGTTTAAACCTGGCTCCTGCAGATGGGGCACGACTCCAAACCTCTGAGCCGCCAAACCACTCGGTTGCCCAAAGCGAATCGACCTGTTAAGATTTGTTCCCATTTTGGGCTTAATCTTTGGTAATGGCCCCAAAGCCCCAAGAAGTTAACCGTAGATTTGGGATCCTTTGGGCCCGTTCAAACCAAGGGGGGTGATTTTCCCCCGGAGCGCTGCACATCGGCTTCGAGAGGTGCAGCTGGAGAAAGAGGGCACCTGCGCGGTGTGCCTGGATGTGCTGCCGGTGGGGCCTGCCGTGCAGGTGTCCGGTTTCGTTCCGAACGTGGGTTGCAAGAGCGGAGTACGATGGATGCCCCGGCCGAGAAATATTGCACGCCGACAAATCCCTCACAAGTGGAGTTCCCCTTGCTTCCCCTGCAGATGAAGGGGAAATGCGAAAGCCTCATTCTTAGAGGAAGTTTGGACGGTCCTGGTTTAGGGCAACGGCCTCGGGTGGGTTCCAGGAAGGCTGTTTTTTGTTGAGGGGGGATTCTTTGTCAACGGAAGTTTAGAAGGAACTTCCGTGGTCTAATTGAAAGCTGACCCGTTTCGGTGTTTTGGGATGGTCGAAGGTTAGCCTGATCGTGACGCTTAGTCGGAGCAATCTCGGGGCAGGCTGCAAGCGCATTCGAAGCGCTCTCGGAACACATTCGGAGCCGGGACGATTGGCACGGACGCGCGCGCTTGTCGCAACATTAGTTTGCGTGGCAGGCGCAGCACTTTTGCAAAGGGTCAAGCACACTTTTGGCGGCGCAGCACTTTTCTGCGGTCACGCGCAGGTTACGTGGCAGGCAGCGCTGTCGCAAGGTCTGGGGCGCCGAAGGTCAAGTGCAGTTGTGTTGCATCCGAAGCACTTTCTAAATGGATAGGTAGATAAGATGGATAAGATAAGTAAGATAGGTAAGAGAAAAAGATAGAAAGATGGATCAACAGAGAGATGACTCGGTTGATAGATGGACAGATGGATAGAATAAAGTTAGACAGGCCAGATCGATTTATCCGGACTAGAGAAATAGATAGGTGGATAGATGGGTAGATAGATAGATTGATAGGTAGATAGACACGGTAGATAAGATGCATAATAAAGCCAAGGTGGATAACACTGATTTGAAACACAAGACCGATAGATCGATCGATCGGTTGATTGATTGGTTGATTGATTGGTTTGTTGGCTGGCTGGCTGGCTGGCTGGCTGGCTGGCTGGCTGGTTGGTTGGTTGGTTGGTTGCTTGCTTGCTTGCTTGATTGATTGATTGATTGATTGATTGATTGATTGATTGATTGATTGATTGATTGATTGATTGATTGATGGGTTGGAATACCGGTAGTTAGGTAGACAGGTAGATAGGCATGTAGGTAGATTGGTAGGTAGGTCATTTGGTTGGTGGCGAATCATATTAGACAGACAAATAACCAGCCAGCTAGGTAGATGGAAAGAGAAAGGAAAAGAGTTGAGTTGAGTTGACTTGACTTGAGTTGAGTTGAGTTGAGTTGACTGAGAGAGCGAGAGAGAGAGAGAGAGAGAGACAGAGTGAGACGAGACCGAGCCTGAGGGTGAGTTGAGGTTTTTTTAAGGATGGGAGGCTTTGACCATGGACGCACCCATTTGGGACGGACTGGGAGGACTCAAAGCACTAACGAATGGCGAACTCACTGTGCGGGCTTGCCCCAAGCTCAGCGTGGGGGTGCTCACGGCCCCTCGGACATGTGGCCCTCTCACTCTGGTGAGGGGAGGGTTGTTCGAAAAGGGGATGCCCTTGAAACGGCTTGATCCTTTCCAAGTGGCAGGTGAGAGGCTGCAAGCACGCCTTCCACCCTCAGTGCATCAGCGAGTGGTGGTCCCAGTCCCGCCAAATCGACCGCAGCTGCCCCCTCTGCCGGTCCAAGCTGGCAATCGCGACCCCGGCGCCGCGCACAGAAGCTCTTCCGATCTGAGCGCGGCTCTTTCACAGCTTCTGGGCCCATCAAAGCGGTATCCAGGTTACCGGGAAGCCACGGGGCCCCCAAAAGTTTTGAGATTCCACAGATATGTTCACTTTAGTGGGCCCAGATGAGCCCAGAGTTCGTTTTTTCAAGAAGCCCGACCAGAGTCCCTGTGGACTCTGAACGCATGGAAGCCGGCGTGGCCAATCCGATGCCCCGGCCAGCGGTTGCCTGAGGTTCGATCAAAACATCTTACCCCATGTCCGGGGAATCGTCCTGTCTTGGTTTGTAAATCTTAGCCTTGCCATTTTTGGACACAGCCTAGACTTTGACCGGCCTCACGCAAATCCCGGGTTGCTTTCATGGCCTGTTGGACTGGAGGCATTCGCCGGGGCTGTCTTTTGCGCATTTTCCGGAACCTGGAGCGGAGGAGGGCCCGACCTCCATCATGCAAAGTAACAGGTAAGAGGGGAAGCCGGTAAAAAAAAGGGAACCTGAAGGGAGGGAATTTGGTGCTGACAGCTGGCGCGATTCAAGATGGACCCGCCCAATCGATGCCTCCAGCTTATCTGTGATTCAGCTTCAGCTGCCGCATGCTGCGACATTTTGCAGCACCTGGGTTGAGACCATTGCTCTAGGGTTGAAGGGTTGGACCTCAGATGGACGCACCATATGGCTGCCAAGCACAGCTGATACACATATAAGCTGAGAAGCTTATCCCGTTCGTTGCAGGTTTGCTATGCCAATCCAGGAACTTGTTTGAAAAGTCTTCTCGTGTGCCGGCACACACGTTTAAGCAATGCGGCGACAGTGGATCCACAAAACTGCGGATTTGCGCTGGCTGCTTCCAGTTCAATACTAGGGGTCCGTTCTCCCCAAATTCGTAGCACCCTGAACTCTCCAAGGGATGAAAAAGAAGTAACGGGGGCCAGCGTTTAGCATGCATTGGCACCCCAGGTCAGAATGCACATTTTGCCCCCCACCGTCAGCCCCAGTTTACTTTAGAGCCTCCGGCTCAGTCCGCCGACATTGTCCTCTCCCTTTTCTCCTTCCTCCTCTCTCCCTTGTCTCCCTTGTGTGTTCTGTTGTCCTCTCTCCCTCCCCACCCCCCCCAAGCCTCTCTCTCCCCAATCTCCCTCTCTCGTATGTATGTATGCATGTACATATGTATATATGCATGTTTGTATGTAATGTAAGTAAGTAAGTATGTATGTATGCATGTTTGTATGTATGTATGTATGTAATGTAATGTATTGTAATGTAATGTAATGTAATGTAATGTAATGTAATGTAATGTAATGTAGTGTAGTGTAATGTAATGTAATGTAATGTAATGTATGCATGTAATGTATGTATGTATGTATGTACGTATGTATGTATGTATGGTATGTATGTATGTATGTATGTATGTATGTATGTATGTATGTATGTATGTATATATGTATGTATGTATGCATGCATGCATGCATGTATGTAATGTAATGTAATGTAATGTAATGTAATGTAATGTAATGTAATGTAATGTAATGTAATGTAATGTAATGTAATGTAAATGTAATGTAATGTAATGTAATGTAATGTAATGTAATGTAATGTAATGTAATGTAATGTAAAGTAATGTAATGTAATGTAATGTAATGTAATGTAATGTAATGTAATGTAATGTAATGTAATGTAATGTAATGTAATGTAATGTATGTCAGTATTAATGTAAGGTAAGTAAATGTAATGTATGTAATGTATTGGTATTATATCTATGTATGTAATGTAATGTATGATGTATGTATGTATGTATGTATGTAATGTATGTAATGTATGTAATGTATGTATGTATGTAATGTCATGTAATGTCATGTAATGTCATGTAATGTAATGTAATGCAATGTAATGTAATGTAATGTATGCATGTATGTATCCTTGCACTTCCCCTTTGCTCCCCAGTATTTTCCGCAAAAAGCACGGTTTTGCTGCGTTTTCGCAAAGAGGACGACCAAAAACATTGAGTTTTTTCCAGATTTTCGGCAAAAGGATGCAACAAGCCCAAGCCAGCCAAAAAGCCAGCAGGGGGAATCGAGCCTGGGACCCCTGTTTTGCGACACCGGCTCCCCGAAGACTACGTTTAGTGGAACGTCATCAAATTGCCGCGCGGTACGCGGGGGAGGGGGGGGGGGTGGCGACCGAAAAACCATGCGTATTTGACGTGTCCCGGGGGGGGACTAAGGGGGGGGTTATCCTCTATCCTCTCTTAGGTATCCAATAGTCCTCTCTTAGGTATCCGACACGCCGAACAATGTCGGCGGATTTACAGGGGTGTCCCTGAATTTGGTGAATTGCGGATCATCGGAGGGGAACACTCCCTATGCATAAACTGGGGTTGATTAATATGGGGTCAACGTTACGTGATTGGCCGTTATAACTCACTAGGGTTAAGCTCACTTAGGGGGACTTAGGGGGACTGCTCAGTGGGTTATTGTCGAGATTAACAACTAACTTGCCCGAACATCAGCGACTTCTTGGAACCGGAGCTGGGCGTTGTGCGTTTCTCAAACTCGGGGGAAATTCGGATCATTTCGAGGGCGGCTTTTCCGCCGGCTTCCGGCTTCCGGCCTCCGCCGCGTTTGGCCTTGCTGGGCTTTGGGCTCGAGGCTCACTGTTGGCCTTTTGCTTCTTTTTTTGGGGTAGGAGCACCTCGGCCTTGGCGGGTTGGGTACGCCCAGCAATTGGCGGGTTTCAGTGGCCATTTTCGGGCGGTTCCGTCAAGAAAGAAACATATGACTGTGGGTCAAAAATGGGTACATCAAATGGCTAGTGGAAACATGGGCCAAAACCTGCGGTCCACATCCTGGTGGTTTAATTCTGGCCCATGCCCATAGGTCAAATTAAACAACTGGGGGACCGCAGGTTTTAGTCCTTGGTTTCGTTTACCAGGTTCCATGTTGGGTGCCTACTTTTGACCAACAGCCACATCTGGCCTTTTGACTCCGACCCATACCCATCTGGCTATGAATGTTGCTGGTTGGAGCCCCCTGAAAAGTGGCTGGTGGACATCAATCGGGGCCATGTCCACCATTTCGGGTCCCAACTCCGACGGCTTCAGCGAGGCTGGAAGAACGTGGAGGTGGGCTTCGAGACCAAAGTCTACCTCTTCGCGGCGGAGGCCCTGCTACTCCACGCAGGCGAGCGAAGACGTGGGTTGGGCGGAAGACGGATGGCGGCTTCGTGTGCCTAGCTGCCTAACCCGTGGTTGGGTTGGTTGATGTTGGTTTGGGTTGCTTGGCTTTTTTTGTTTGGTGTTGGTTGGGTTGCTTTGGGTTGTTTTGATGATTAGATTGGACTGGGTTGGGTTTGGGTGGCTTTGGGTTGGCTTGATTTAGATTGGGTTGTTTGGTTTTGGGTTGGGTTGCTTTGGGTTGGATCGTTTTGGTTTGGGTTGTTTCGGATTGGGTTGGATTGTGTTGTTTGGGGTTAGGATGTTTTAAGTTTAATTGGTTTGGGGTTGTGTTGGCTTGGGTTTGGGTTGGTTTGGTTGGGGTTGTTTTGGTTTGGGTTGGCTTGGGGGGTGGTTTGGTTGGGTTGTTTGGGTTGTTTGGGTTGTTTGGGTTTTGGGTTTGGTTGGCTTGGCTGGGGTTTGGGTTGGTTTGGTTTGGGGTCGTTTTGGTTTGGGTTGGCTTGGGGTGGTTGGGGTGGTTGGGTCTGGGATGGGTGGTTTGGTTTGGGTAGTTTTAGGTTGGGTTGGTTTGGGTTGTTTTGGTTTGGGTTAGTTTGGGTCTTCTTTTGGATTTGGTTGCTTTGGGTCAATGTTGGACCTGAACAGAGGAACCAGTCAGCGGCGACCCTTTTTTGAGAAGATTCTGGGGGTCTGTGCGGGACTTGGAGTTTCCAGTGCTTACTTTAGCATTTCCAAGGCTGCCTCTCAGATTCCCAGCACTTACTTTAGCATTGGCAAGTGTATTGTAGTATTGCCAAGGCCGACTCTCAGATTCCCAGCGCTTGCTTCAGTATTGCCAATTCTACTATATTATTTCCAAAGCCCGCATTTTTCAGCAACCCCCACACAAGTTTGACACTACAGAGGACCCCAAAGCAGTCGCGTTAAGAGGATCAGGGCCTTTTGTGGGCAACCTCCTTTGTGCGAATGTTTGCCCTCACCCTTCTTTAAAGAAGTTATCTTGAATTTGATGGTTTGGGGACCACTTCAAAAAAGGAATTCCTCATGTTTGCCCGGATTTGTTTGCCCGGTTTTTGTCATTTGTTTTTGGCGAGTTGTTTTTTGTCCGGATTTTTCTTCTCCGGCTTCTTTTGCCGGCAAAGACACTTGCGACAATAGAGGACCCCAAAACAGCCACAGCATCCTGAAGCAGGAAAAAAGCTTGACACAATCGAGGCCCCTATTAAAGCGTGTATAACGTTAGGTTGTTTGGGGCTGGGTTGGGTTTGGTCGGTTTGGCGCAACTCAACTGATCTCCGGAGGCGCCTTCTTGTGGCGGGTGGGCCGCAAGGCAGCCAAGGAGGGCCAAGGCCGCGACCTTGGGACAGAGTCCTTGGGCCCCCCCTCCCCGTACGTTGAACACTGCCGGACAGTATAACTGTTAAACATGCGACGCAGATAGATAAATAGATGGACAGATAGATAAATAGAGATATAGATCGATAGAGAGAGAGAGATAGAAAGATAGGTAAGTAGAAAGTTAGATATGTAGATAGAGAGATAGGTAGGTAGGCAGGTAGGTAGGTAGATAGACAGATAGAGAGACAGAGAGGGACGTTAAAATCGGTTGTTACTTTGCTTACAAGTGCAAGTGCTGTAGTGTTCAAACAAACAGTCAACCAATGTAGTCTGCAGCTGCCAACCTTTTGACTCATGCGGAGTAGTAAGCTCAAGGCCTGCGGTAGTGAACATACATGCAACAAGAGTGCAAAGTGAAGCATGTAGTTTGACAAGGGAGAGAGAGAGAGAGAGATAGATAGAGAGAGAGAGAGAGATAGTTAGGTAGGTAGATAGATAGATAGATAGATAGATAGAGAGAGAGAGAGAGATACCGATATATATAGATGGATGGAGTGATAGATAGATTGATTGAGAGAGAGAGAGAGAGGGAGCTAGAAATATAGGTAGATACATAGTTAGATAGGTAGGTAGATAGATAGACAGATAGGTAGATAGTTAGAGAGATAGATCGAAACAATAAGAAAGAAATAACAGAAAGAACGGAAAGAACTAAATAAAGAAGGAAGGGCAGGAAAGGAAGGAAGCAGGAAAGAAAGAAAGAAATAAAGAAAGAAAGAAAGACAGACAGAAAGAAAGAAAAAAAGAAAGAAAGAAGGAAGGAAGGAAGAAAGAAAGAAAGACAGAAAGAAAGAAAGAACAACAAATAACAAAGAAAGCAATAACGATGGACGGAAAAGACACAATGAAAATAAAAAAGGGAAGAAAGAAGAGAAACATCGAGAAAAGAAAGAGAAGGACAACTATAGTTTATATATTTTGGAAACTTCCGCCCCCCGGCTGCGCCGGACCTTACTGGCAACGTTTGGGGCCGCGTGCCGGTTGATTGCGCTTTGTGATTTGTACATGATTTGTGTCAATAGGGGGATTCACGCTGACCATGGCCACGTGCAGGGGCACAGAAAATTGAGATAGTGGCTGGTGGACAGCGGGGTCGGTGCTGCCACCAAGGCTGGGGAAATGCGACTGCAGAAGGCTCCTGCTTTTTTGTTTTGTCTTTGTTGCTGGCTGGCACGCAGCGGGGTCGGTGGTGCTGCTAGAGTCGGGGAGGTGCACATGCGTAGCGGGGTGTGCTTCGCGCCGGCGGGGCAACGCAGAGTTGTGAAGTATTGGATCAGACGTTGGCTGGTGGACAGCGGGGTCGGTGCTGCCACCAGGGTCGGGGAAGTGCGCGTGTGTAGCGGGGTGCACTTCGCGCCGGCAGAAGGCGCGGGCAGCATTTTCCCGAGGTCAGCGAGAGAAACAGTTAGTTCAGAGACAGACAGCTTGCAGATAGATAACAAAAACCAATAATATCTGGACAGAGCTGGTAGCTTGACATGGACGACTGCTTGAACAGACAGGCAGCTTCAGGCAGAGATTTCCACAAAGTTAGTTTGCTTGACAGATAGATGCCCAACAGATGAGACAGCCTGATTAACAGATGATAGCGCAACAGAAATTCGGATCAAATGCGCAAGCGCAAGTGAAGTGGGACAAGCAAGAAGAAGGTTCCATGACATTTCAATGAGGCCCAGTTGATCGCCAAAGCTCAAGCGCCCCTATTGCAGGCTTGCCGGCTTTACTCGATCATGATCTCGCACGATTGTTGCCAGGGGCTGGCGCTCAGCGATTGAGTGACTTGCGTTTAGGTGCGGCTCAAGGAAGCACGCCTGGAGTCATGGAGGCGAGGGAGGACGCGCCGCTGCAAAGCCTGGCTGCGCCTGTACTCGGTCGCCGGCTGGCAGCGCTGGAAGACCCTTCAGGTGCTGGCTCGCAGCTTTGCTGAGTTGGGAGCAGCGCTTGAGGGGGAGTCGTCCGAAAGGTCCTTGCATTCAGGAAATTAGGAAGGGGAAGACTTTTTTTGGTCGTATTACTGCCATCCGCGAAAGCTTCGCGAAAGTTGCCATTTTTTCTTTCGAAGTTTTGCCTATTTTGCCTATGGGCAGTTTGCAAAAGGAAGATAATGATGGCTATAATGCATTTGCCGTCAGTTTTGAGATTGCGCAAAGCTAGTCGGAGGAAAGCGCGGCCAGGTTGCCGCCAAAAAATGCAGGAAACCCCAGCTTGGGTGGCCAACGGGTTCCCTCCTGTGCTTGCTGCACGGCTTTCGAGCTTGCGGAGTGCACTTCGGTAACTTTGGAACTGAAAAGTTGCGACTTTCGAGCTGGGGCGCCATAAATTTACTTTGTACAACTTTCGTTTCTGAACAGTTGGCACTTCCAAGCCTCACTGCGGAATTGTACTCGTGATGAAGGCCGCGAAAGTTACTTTTTTTTTCCGCGAGAGATTGCGTTTCCGGGGGAAGGAATTATTTTCAGACAGCCGCCAGGCTCGCGTGCCGAAAGCACAGCCTGCGCGCTCTTTCCTTCTGGCGCCCTTGCCAGTAGCTCCAGGGAGGCTGCGCAACTTGGACGAGATCTTGGAGACATGGGCTCCTGCTGGCTTTGAGTGGTCCTCAAGCGAGCGTAAGCGAGCTGGCCTTCACCAAAGATGTAGCTAGGCGCGCAGGACAATGGCAGAGGAAATGGATGCTTTTCGGACAGATTGACGAGGCCTTCGGCTGGAAAGGCAAAGTGCTGGAGGACGACGTTCTCATGCAGCGAGCCGCTGCGCAGGTGACCTAATTGCTGCTGCACGCATCCCCAGATGTGCGCAGTGAACTGCTCCACACCAAGATCTTCGCTTCTTCTTCTTGCTTACTTACCGTCCCACGCGAAGCTCATCGAGTCCTGAACGGCGCCTTTGTGCATTCCTTCCACAACACCATTTCATCTTGCCACTTGGACTTCTTGCTCGGCGCGCTGAGAAGGGCTCAAGCGTATTACTTGGTCTTTGGCAAGCTAGAGGACCGCCAAGCGGCCAAGCCCTCCCTTCTTTTGAACAAAGGTGCAGGGGTACTTCCCTAAAATGCCTCTGTTTTGGTATGTCCCTCAAGGTTCCCCTTGTTGCTAAAGAAAAAAATATTGAATAAGGGGGCGGGGGGACACCTCTCTCCATTTGGGGACGAGCATAGGACCCGCCAGCGCGCAAGCTCGAGAATGCGATCTTTGAGGTGCGTGTCATACTGAGCACAGGCGAGGAGCAAACGCTCCTTGAGTGGCAGATGACTGATCTGCTTGGGCGTAAAGCTGAGATGAAGGCCAAGTTGTGGTTCTACGGCTTGAGTGAACTCTGTCGAGATCTTCGGCGCCAGTTTAGCGAGCACAACAAGAACATGGTGAAGAATTTCCACCGCTGGGCGGAGAGCAGCTACGACGCCTGCAAGCAGCCGGGTGTTGCGTTCCAGGATGCTTACATCTCCACGGCAGATGGTGACATCAAGCAGCTCCGAAAGGATCCGCGGCACGGGTGCTACGTGCAGGTCTCGCACCAAATCGTGTTCAGGCCATCAGACGTGAGTCGGCGCCGGCTGGCCTCTATGCTTCTGGCGTCTTTCTCTGGCGGTGATGGCTTGGAGAGGCTCCTTGCGCAGAGTGCTCTTGCTCTTTCCGGGATGCGCCAGCCGGACGTCATGAACGTCTTTTTTTGGCGCAGGCATGGAAGGCAAGAGCCTGATCCTGGTCGATCTCATGGCAGCGTGCTGGGGAAGTGGATTTGGCAATCCTCCGGGCACTATGCTCCAAGTTGAGCGGGAGTTTCAGCAACAGGGGCTAAAATACTTGCATTGCGCCATGCTGACATTTGACGAGTGCCGTCGAGACCAGGGTATTGTTGAGGACGTTGTGAAGTTGTTCATTGGCAACGGCATCTTTCTTGCCTCTGCGAGCGGAACATGAGCTGAAACCAAGGATGCTACTCTGCCTCTGCGTCAAGAACTGTTGCTTTGAACTTGGGCCCGATGTGCTGCCATTCCATCCAACGGCAAAGGAGAGGTCGCATTTCCCGCCGTTTCGAGGCGTCTTCAATAGCGCGCCAACATAAACAAACGCAGGTGGAGTTGTGTATGTAGCCTCCAAAAGTTCTTGGCCGACGAAGACGCAAAGGGCTTCATGTCTTCAGGCGATGCTGTCTGGTCCTTCTTCCAAGACTTCTTGTTCAAGTACCTGCGGCAGAGTGGCCCACGCCAGTGGTACAGGGTTCTCGACTACGTCAAGCCGGGTTCGCAGACGGAGAAGGACACTGCTTGGCTCTTGCAGAAGATGGCCCGCGTGACCACCGCAGGCCCCCACATCCTGACGCGCCCCTGTATCTCCAGCCGCCTCTTGTGCCGGCCTGAAGAGCGACTGTAAGTCTCGCGCCGGTCCTAAATCAGCGCAGGAAACGCACGCCGCCTTGACCTCTTCTGCGCTGACAGCCCACTCGGTGAACAGATGCAGCCACGTGCAGGCCAACCCCGGCGGAGATGGCAGCAAGTCATCGAAGCACAGAAGCCGTGCAGAGTTCCTACAGGATGCAATTGGGGAGTTTCCCTATCTGCTACGACGGGCCCCAGAAGATCGCAGAGGCAGTGTGAAGTTTCTTCGCCGGCCCGTGGATGTAGGGAAGATGATGGCTGTTCTGGAAGAGGCAGGTTGTTGCGCGGGGGTGTTGATTCGGAAGGGCATCGTGAGTGTTGGCGCTTAATGGCTTCATGTGTCTCGCAGACTGATCATTGACCCGAGGTGTCTGACTGCGACATGGCAGGCGTCTTCGGCACCTGGAAAGATTGGACCTGGCCTTCGGAGCTTACCGGGGAGCGTGCGGGGGACGAGGTGAATGAGTGCGAGGAGCATGGTTTAGCAGAATGCCCGCACTGGGGGACTTTATGTCCGAGTGAATGTGAGTCGTTCGAGAAATAAATGTTGCTGAAGCGAAAGACTCTCGGACCACA